TGATTATTGCGTTTGGACGATACTTTGTGGCCAACCCAGACCTCGTATTCCGGGTCAAGGAGAGCGTGCCACTGACAAAATACGACCGCAATGTCTTTTACACGCCAAAGACACCCGTCGGCTATGTCGACTACCCACACAGTCAGCAGTATCTCCAGGCCATGGCCAAGGTGTAGATAGTTCATATACAATATATCGAGGTTGTAATCTGACGTTTTCCATGAAGAAAAGCTGGAAGTGAGCATAAGGTAGAGGCGATGCTGACTGTGACAAGGATGATGGTGGCAGGAATGCAGCCTAACTACCCCGCCAAAGTTAGTGCAGCCTCCCTGCATCAGCTCCCCCCATCGGTCCGTCAATCGACAACAACGTATGTATGTGTAGCTTCATACTACATACTCCACTGCACATCAATCATTTTAATTCCCCGTCACATCCCAAAGCATCCAGTCACAGTCGCCATGTCGACCACCATAGAGGCTGAGACGCTTAAGCAGCACCTGGCCGACAACCCGCCTGCCATTGTGCCCCTAGCCATCAAGCCCCACTTTGAGGCCTTGAGCGACAAGGAGAAGCTCTATTCCCACCATCTCTCCATGTAATATATGTCCTGGGGTGCGATTACGTTGATCCATGGCTGACTGACTGACGCCCATCACAGTGCCTGCTTTGCCGGATCGCGCGTCGTCCTTCGTCAAGTCTCGCCCGAGTCGGAGTACATCTACGACTTCATTGTCGCCTTGCACAAACACACAAAGGGCGACTATGCTGCTGTTGCCAGTGAAGCTGGCCTCTCGCAAGAGGACATTGATGCATACCTCAACTACGCGGCCCAGTTTCTCGGTAACATGGGCAACTACAGGTCCTTTGGTGACTCCAAGTTTGTGCCCCAACTCCCGCCCCGCCAGCTCAAGGCCCTCGCTACTGTATCCAAAGACACACTAGCCCTATACGAGAAGATCAAAGACTCGATATACGCAGGCGATGACGTCGGAAAGCTGCATCTAGGCTATCCGGGTGCAGGACACATCTCAGCATACTACCCTGACAGTCCCAACATCACAAACGAGGAGATATCCAAAGTCAGCGACTTCCTCGAGGGCAAGGGTCTTCTCCCAGAAAACACTAGAATCAGGAAGACGGACAATGGCTACCAAGTCCTCATTGCTTCGGCGCTCGATAACCCCCCGGCAGAGCAGCGCGACTTGAAGGAAAGTGAATGGACAATGGATGATGGAACAAAGGTCACGCTCATGTTTGGAGACTACTCCAAGGAAATGGATACCATTGCCCGTCACATTGAGGAGGCCAAGAAGTATGCGGCCAACGAGCACCAGGTCGAGATGATGGAAGAGTACTCCAAGAGCTTCCGTAGTGGCTCACTGCAGGCTTTCAAAAAGAGCCAGATGGCGTGGGTACAGGACAAAGGCCCCCAGGTCGAATCAGATATTGGCTTCATAGAAACATATCGCGACCCTCACGGAATCCGTGGCGAATGGGAAGGTTTCGTCGCCATGGTCAACAAAGAACGGACACGTGCATTTGGAAAATTGGTAGAGAGTGCACCACAGTACATCCCACTACTGCCATGGGACAAGTCATTTGAGAAGGACAAGTTCTTGAGCCCGGACTTTACCTCGCTTGAGGTACTGACGTTTGCTGGCAGCGGGTAAGTGGTCGACTCACTCAACATTGCTGCTACATTTGCTGACACCAACAGTATTCCTGCCGGTATCAACATCCCAAACTACGATGATATTCGGCAAAACTTTGGCTTCAAGAACGTGTCATTGGGAAATATCCTCTCCGCTAAAGCACCAAACGAGTCCATCCCCTTTATCAAGGAACGTGATCTAGAAACGTATCAAAAATACCGCGATCCTGCTTTCGAGGTCCAGGTCGGACTCCATGAGCTGCTCGGCCATGGCTGTGGCAAACTGCTTCAGGAGACGGAGCCTGGTGTCTTCAACTTTGACAAGGAGAACCCGCCCATATCGCCTCTCAGTGGCCAGCCGATCAAAACATGGTACAAGCCCGGCCAGACATGGGGCTCAACTTTCGGTTCCATGGCTGCGTCGTACGAGGAATGTCGCGCTGAGTGCGTCGCCATGGCATTATCTTGCGAGTTTCCCATATTGCAGCTATTCGGCTTCGGCGATGGCAAAGTAGACATGAACAGCGCGGCTGGTGATGTCTTGTACATAGCATATCTCCAGATGGCACGCGCTGGTATCGCTGCCCTGGAGTTCTGGGATCCCAAGAGTAGGAAGTGGGGACAGGCACACATGCAGGCCCGCTTCTCCATCCTGCGAACCTTCCTTAACGCGGGCGTTGAATTCTGCCAACTTGAATGGGAGAAGGAAGACCTTTCAGACCTCACGATTCGCCTTGAGCGCGATCGCATTCTCGACCTTGGCCGACCAGCTGTCGACGACTACCTTCAGAAGTTGCACATTTACAAGGCTACCGCAGACGTGGCTGCTGCGAAGCGAATGTACGATGAAATCACAAGCGTAGAGCCTTTCTATGAGAACATGGTTAGGCCAGCTGTGTTGAGAAAGAAGACGCCACGTAAGGTATTTGTGCAAACCAATACAGTCGAGAAAGATGGCAAGGTAGAACTTGTCGAGTATGAAGCAACCACCAAAGGCATGATCCAGAGTTATGCCGATAGGGAGTACGTTTAGGTATGATGGTAGCTAAGGACGATTTTCTCCGAATCATAGCATGCTCAGCCTGCTCTTGTCACAAATATGAAGGGCTGCGCACATGAACAATTGAACGATACGAATGCACAAAAAATGCAAACCAATTTTATACTATGTTCACCGTTCCTGGGAGCACAAACCTCAGATATAACTCTTTTTTATGGATGATGGATCGAGACTAATACACAACGCAGCCTGGATTCAACTCAACGGTGGATACACATTAACTGGCGGAACAGTGCCAAGAGACGCTTGTATCTGTTTAGAGCAGGTACCTGGAAAGCGGCACTTGGCAGCCTCTTGGCTAGAGAAAGTGTGGAGGCGAAGGGTACTAGCCTGGGGTCCCACATGGTAGTCATGCCCACCTCATGTACCCTAGTGCTATGCAACTGCCGGCTGCCGCAGTATTCTTCCACCGCTTAAGAACGACCTTGCTACGAAACCTCGTCATCTGACCACGTCCATTTTCAAGACAAACAAAAGAGGGGAAAGGAGATATATCGACCGCAACGTTTGTCTAGCTAAGCATCTGCATCCACACAACAGGAATCGTACTCGACAGAAGCCTAAATGATATGCGTACGAAAGCTTCTTTTTTCGCTCACACCATTACTACAGGCAGCTCGGAGATGCAACCCTGAAGCGACCAAAGCCAAGAGCACTTGTGTAAATCTTGTTAAACATCCACAATCCCATGGCTATGTGTTTCACCTTTCTATACTGCGTTAGTGTGCCGGCCCTACTGTAGATTGCTCTTGTCGCTGCAGGTTGTCCATTTCTCCGTCATAGTCATGGAAAAACTTGTCTTGATTTGTGAAGCATTTTAGTTTTTACGCACATTCGAGATTGCAAAAGAAATGGCTTCGGAACAATTCCCGACAGGCGCTCCACCGAGCCAGTGTTTTACTTGCATGGAAATAAATAAAGAGCCTAGTATTTCTGGTGATGTCCTCTTATTTTGCACAGGCAACCAGCTCTACTCTTCTTTTCTCTTCTGATCTGTGAAGAAGCCTCTTTCTGAAGGCTCAATTTCATCATGAAGTTGTCCATTCTTGCTCTTGCAACTGCCTATACCGCCAATGCTGCAGTCGTTGGCGAAAGACAAGCATACGGCGTAAAGGGCTCGCCTGAGGGGTTTGGTAAAGGTACTACGGGAGGTGGCAATGCAGCATGCCAGATTCCTTCCTCCGTCGCTCAGCTAAAGACGTGGCTCACCGACAGCACCGCCCGTTGCATTGTGCTGGACCGCGAGTTCAACTTTAAGGGCACCGAGGGCACCACCACTGCCACTGGTTGCCGTCCTGCATCCAACAAATGTCCAGGCAATGGAGGCCAGGATGCCATCAACAACGCTAACTGGTGTACTAATGGCAATGCTGGAGCTGGAGCAACGAGCATCCAAGTCAAATACGATAATGCTGGAACCTCGGCTATCAACCTAGGCTCCAACAAGTCCATCATCGGTGTCGGCAACAGAGGCGTGATTCGTGGCAAGGGTCTCCGTATTGCAAATGGAGCAAAGAACATCATCATCCAAAACATTCACATCACTGAGCTCAACCCCCAATACATCTGGGGCGGCGACGCCATCACCCTCGACGGTGCTGATCTAGTATGGGTCGGTACGTATCTCACTCCTTCACCTTCATCTCCATATCTATCCCCTATCTAACCCCTTTCCACTAGACCACTGCAAAATCTCCCTCATCGGCCGCCAAATGTTCGTAGCCGGCTACGGCGCCTCGAACCGCGTCACAGTCTCCAACACAGAATTCGACGGCTCAACCTCCTGGTCCGCAACCTGCAATGGCCGCCACTACTGGACCATGCTGCTAATCGGATCCAATGACCTTATTACCCTGAAGGGCAACTACATCCACCACACTTCCGGTCGCAGTCCGAAAGTCGGTGGCAACACCCTACTACATGCTGTTAACAACTACTTTTACAGCAACACGGGCCATGCTTTTGACAATGAGAAGGGCGGCAAGATTGTCGCGGAGGGCAACGTGTTCCAGAATGTCGCGACTCCCCTGTTGGCGAATACGGGCCAGTTCTTCGCGTCGCCGTCAACGAGCGCGAATGCGGCTTGCCAACAGTATCTGGGTCATGCGTGCCAGCTTAACTCGTTTGGAAGCAGCGGCTCGCTGAGTGGAAGTGACACATCGTTCTTCTCAAACTTTGGTGGTAAGAATGTCGCGGGTGCTTCGGCGGCGAGTGCCAATGTGGCGAACACTGCTGGTGTTGGAAAGATTTAGGCAAGTGGGCTTTTGGTGAAAAGAGAGGTAGTATGAGGAGGTTGGTTGTTCGAGGGTTGGTTTATCTTCTCCTGTATCTACTTTACTCCGTGATTTTGCTTTGAATTACGGCTTGCTTAACAAGCTTCTCGGCATCATCACTCCCCGTATATATGCAAATATCCACCGACATTATTGATCTGGCAACACCATTCACTCCACCCCAAATGCCTCCTTGAAAACGTCAAGATTTCTCCGTCCCGCCACTCCAGCCGCATAAATCGCAAACCCCACAACTTCAAACCAACCCTCAAACTCCTCCCTCCCCAGCGCCTCCTTCATCTCCCTCGCAACAGCCCGCGGTGGACACCCATAAGCCCCGCACCCCATCGCACCAAGCACCAACCTCGTAACACCCTCCCTTGCCGCCATCCTCAACACCAGCACAATCTTCTCCCTCAAATTCTCCAGTTCCCCTTCATCCGCAAACTCCTCCCCATCCCCCGTCACCCGCGGAAACCTCGGCGCCGCAACCGTAACAACCACAACACTAAACCGCTCCTCCTCCTTCAACTCTACAAGATCCTGATCCAACGTATCCCGGTACACGACTACACCCGGCGACACGATACCCGCACACGACCCAGGACCCATGTTGGGCCAGGGATACCATTCGGGGCGTAGCGTAGCATACAGCGTAGACGAGTAACATAACGCTTCTTCTTGCGTACGGGACAACGTGTAGCGCCACCCACCCCCCGGTCGCTCGTCCGAGGCTAAGTTCAAGACCCCGATTTTCGGGGCCGTGGAATATGGCGGAGTTGTTTGAAAGCGATGGGCGAGGGCGAAGGCGTCGCTATTTAGAATTTGTATAGGGTGCAAAGTATGGCTTGGGTAGGAAGAAGAGGATTTGACCAGAGGGGGCAGTTGGGAGGGGATGAAGGTGCTGGAGAGGGTGCCAGTGGGGAGGGAGGCGGCGAGGGAAGCGGAGCGCGAGATTGTTTCTTCGCAGATTTTGCGGCGGGTTGCGAGGTCTAGCATTTTGGGGGGTGATGGGTAATGGAGTGTTGTGAGGGATAGGGAAGGTCACGTTGGGTGTAGGTAGGTATTTTGGATGTTGCCTATTTTTGCCAAGCCTATGCGCTGAGTGTCGTCGTGCAGTTGGATTTTTATGGTCATGTGTTGAGTCTAGTGGCTGAACACTAGTTTCTGAAGATATGTCTAGATTGCAGCAAGTTTGATGTGCTGGCGTCCTGTGATGCTGGTAGTAGTCATGGTAGTTCAAGATTGGCGTGTAAGTGGGGCGCTACTAGTAATGTCCGTCACTACGTATCGAGACACCATGCGTAACGAGACGCTACTTACATCTTCTAGTTTACATAACAATACCTTCTATTAAATTTAGAAAAAGACACTCTCTAAGAATATACTATGCTTGCCGTGAAATACAAGAGCGTAGTGCAACAGCCACCCGATCGCCTATCTTCGGTAGACCTTAAGTGCGCAGAAAGCTTGGACTCCTAGCTCAAATTCCACCAGCTTATATCGTATAACATAAACAACTTGTCACGAGAATTTCGCTTCTATCCAACGTGCCAGCGCGCGTGTGTGTTAATTCAAACCATGTCTATTAGAATGCACAGTATGCAGAGCACTAAGCCTTAGCTTGAAGGTAGGTTAACCGTACTATATTGCTGCTGACACTAACCCCAGGATCAGAAAGAGTCTAACAGTGTATCTTAGCCGATTAGAAAGGATAGAAATGACCCGAGCCACTTCACCCTTTGTGCGAAGATGCAGCCTTCAGTATTGTTGAAGGCATTGCTGGTGTGGCAGTGCCTTCCCATTGTAGCTTAGCGCAAATAGTTGATAAGCAGCATCTCACTGAGAGCTCCACGGTCAATTCTACAATAAGCTCTTCACAGCCTTTTCACGATTCAATATAGGCTACAGCCTTCTTAATGCCATCTATTCCGGAGGCAAGGTCAGAGATGGGGCGGGTCGGCCATCTTCCTACTTGCGTGTATAAGACGTTCATACACGCCACTTGGGCAGCACATACGTGGCAAACCGAGCACCAACAAGCAAGTCGTACAGAATGAGCGAATTAGGCTGGAATCTGTCTACAATTCTATAAAGGTACTCTTCGTGACTGGATCGGACTTTGACACTTTCATCCGATAAATATGCTGCGCAACACTACCGACGCCGTCAAATCAACGCACCAGCCATCACTTTTCATCCATCTTCACTTCTACACCGCAGACAGATTGCCGTGTCGCCTCTATAAAGAGCCCAATACAGCATGAAACGGATAAGGTTATCGGATACATCTGAAACGTCACCTCCAGAAAAGCGACAGCGATTTGTAGCCGCACGGGTTGCGGAATATCCGGAGAACGAAGGCACGCCCAAATTACGTCTAGAAGTAGCGCATTAAGAACAGACTACTCTATGTTCCAGGTGTTCACATATTAATGTTGAACATCTTTTTTTCGATCTAAGGGACAGAGAAACAGGGTAGAAATTGAGAAATCTTGGAAAACTTGGGCCAGAGACTGAGTTATCGCCGTATTCATTGTGTCACCTTTTCTATGCGGTGAAGATACAGGGTGACGACAACCTTGAAGACGAAGACTATGCTTTATACTCAACGAGTCCTCCATCACCGAGTGCCTCTGATGCTGGATCTGTAGTAGCTGTAGCCAGGGGAGCGAGCAAATGCAGGCAGAGATCGTCTTGGTTCAAAGTGATGTTCAAAGGAAAGTCCAGTGGATTTATCGCATCTTCAATGGCATCAGGATCGGCTCCTCACATATATTCACTACGTGCTCGGTCTATTGATGCAAGATCAATTGACTTCGACATTATTCGAGGCCGGATGAGACTGTGCATCGGAAAGCACATGAAGCAGTGCGTCCAAGCTGCCCCATCAACTTTGGACCTAAAAGACCTGAAGTTGATTGATTGCGAACAGCGACGAATCATACAAGCACTACCATCAAACAAGTATTCCGCGCTCAGCTATGTATGGGGAACGAACGGATTCGGCAATAATGATCGATCTATCCATAACAAGCTTCCCACAACCTTGCCGCAGACTATCGAAGATGCTTTAAAAGTTACTAAAGAGCTGGATCTTCGATACATTTGGATAGACAGGTATTGCATCAACCAAGATGACGATGCTGAGAAACAGATTCAAATTCAGCAGATGGATCTTATATATCAGAATGCATTCATAACTATAGTTGCTGCAGCCGGCACCGATCCACATTTCGGCTTGCCCGGAATCGGGACATCGAGAGATCTCCAAAAGAAGGCTTGGATCAAAGGAACTTGCCTTGTATCAATTTTTCCGGACCTAAAGGAGACCATTAAGACCTCTAAATGGATACAACGCGCGTGGACTTATCAAGAGAGCTTCTTCTCCACTCGACGTCTGGTTTTCACAACGAAACAAGTCTACTACGAGTGTCGGGGTGTTGTTGCGTATGAGACAGTCGACAATTTCGAAGAGACCACCTATTCTCATATGTTCAACGCAGCCAGCCATTCTGAGCATCACCCCTGGAGAATTTGCCATCATTTGAGCGCATACAGTTGGAGGGAGCTATCTGTTGAAGCTGATGCTATACGCGCTTTTGAAGGGGTATTCAACAACTTCAAGAGAAAGAGGTTCCCTGTGCGCCAATTTCTGGGTGTTCCAATTATGCCAGCAGTAATTCGAGGACCAAGCGGGGGACAAAAACCAGCACGACGTAGTAGGAGTGAGGCTTTCGCTGCGGGGCTTTCCTGGATAAATTCTGCATCGAGAACTAGGCGCACACAGTTTACTACATGGAGCTGGGCGGGATGGACTGCTCCATTTGTCTATAGCAATTAATTATGCCAATACGGGCTTCAACTCAAAAATGAAAGTCGACTGAAGATCTTCATAGAGAATCATGATTGATCACTTTCAGATATTGATAAGTACAACGACGCCTCGCTCGAGCAGCAACTAAATAATTCGTCTGGAAAATTTGTTCATATCGAAGCCTGTACAATACCTATTGCAATCCAATATATGCCCGAAGGGGCAGATGACTGGATTGACGAATTTCGATCCGTACCACAACTGAAATCCAACTTCTCTGGTTGCTTCGCTGTATTTCAAGAAGATGAAGAAATTCTCAAAATGCCTTTGTTTTCATCGTACCAGACCTACGAGAAGGGCAATGATGCACAGCATAACTTCGCGCCAGACCTTGACCGGGGCGATTTATTAGGTATAGTCCTAGACAGATGCGAAGACATTTCCAATCTCAAGTCTATTGAATGCATCTTTATCTTAGTTGTGCATAACAAAGGGTAGCATTTTGAACGCGTCGGGTGCATGGAAACTAAGCGTATGGTGCCGAGCTTGAGTCCTTACAAGTCGTATGTACGTTCTAATGCAATACCGTGGAAGCTTTGTTTTCGACTAAAGGAACGGAGAAAAATCCGTCTTGGTTGATATTAGCATAACAGGTGGTATTTAGCACTGTTGGAGGGTGGATATCCCAGCAATAGACCTCACACGCAACGGCGTTTGCGCGCTATCGGTAGCTGCTTAGGCCATACAAATATTGAATCCTAGAACACTTTCAATAACCCGAAAGTTGAGGTTTTGTATGTTTAATCTCGTAAGCTTAAGGATTTGCAGTGAAGTCATTATAGGGGTGTCGTGAGCGTCTCGTTACCTAGAGTGCCTCGCTATGCAGGGCCGGACTTAAGAACGATACTTAGGGATCTCGGAACGTCGGAGTTCAACCCGGATACGAAGATTGACCAAAAGTACCATCGTAAATAGCTTTCGATCAAGAACCTGAAGCTGGTACCTTGATTCACTACTAATGGGGTAAATGCATCCAGTGCCGTCATGCTAGTCGGAGAATATCGATGCAGGTTTGCTAACCCAAAAGCCTGGATACTTGCATCTACGACTCGCTGTCTCCTGATGATCATCGCCCAGAAGATCAGTACACGGAACGGATGGATCAGTGCGTGCATGTTTGTCGGGATTGTTGGCATTACCATCCGCGGAGAGGCGGATGCGTTCTCCGCTGATGAGCGGGTTATCGCGTGTTACATCAATGGAGTTGTTCGTGTGACCAAGGAGCAGCGATGTCTCGTATGTCTAATAACGATATTGCGATCACACTCCACTTTTCTATCGTCTTAGGAGATAGAGGCTCATTGTGATACAGCTATAGAAACTAGATCAAGCCTCACTCATGCAGCGTGATATTGCATTGGGATGATTATTGAACAAGGGTCCAGTCTGCTGTCAAACTTTAGGCCGCTATTGAGAGCATACATGTACCGAAACGATTAGCCAATACAGGGTGCCTTACATGGTTTCCTCGCCCACTCAATTCTCGCTTCCAATGCGAGAAAGCGGGTAGTAAGCTTTGCAGAGCTGGAAACATGGTGGCAAGGGGACGAGCATACATATACAGATGTGGCGTCGACTTTTATAACTTTATACGACAGAGTTCGGTAGTCACCATCATTTGTTTCAGCACTTCGGAGACGTGGCTTTGTGGCTCTACTAAACAAATGGAAATCTTGGCTGGCTTCCCAGTCTGGAGTATTTTGGTATACCACACTGCTCATCTTATCTCATGTACATGAGATATGGACTGATTCAAAGCTTGCAGAATATTATGCAGCGACCTAGTGATATCCTATGACTGTGCAAATAATCCCGTTGGGTTTTCGCAGATTGCTTTTGGCAGGTGGCGTCACTAGTATGTTCATAGCGTGAAGCGAACGACGCGACAGCGCAATGACGATCACGACGAACCTGTTACTAGTACCCCGCGGAGAGAAACAACGTAATCCAATGCCTACACAAGAGTTCTAGCTGGTGCCCAATGACCAATTTCTCTGCTCTACGTATTGTGAACTGTGAAGCGTCTTAGCTGAACAACTCGTGGCAACCCTAGACCCTGACTCAGGCGCAATTGGATGATTGCACACGGATCAGCGGCTAGTCCTGTTAGTGATCGGTTTTGACAGCCGCCCGCTACCCGCTCCCCGCTGGCACGGTGCAGCGTGTAGTTTGATAGTGCCAACCTTCAGACATGCATACGAGGCCTGTGATTTTGTGACATAACAACATACATAATTGCGCTCTGCCACACGAGCATTGCAAGTGGAACTGGATTGGAGAAACCTAATCTCCCTTTTCTTGCGTGATCGTCTTGCAGGCGCTCATATAAGCAGCATCTTCCACTCAACTGGTAGGAGATGCGCAAATGCTGCTGTTCTAGGCCATCAATACGTTGATCGTAGCATGGCTAGGATTGAATCCCTGGTACAGAGCCAAGAATGGATTGTACGAGTAAGTAGTTCGCCAACGCCTTGTCTTATCCGAGACATGTAAAGGTCTAGCTAGAAAAAGCAAATGTCTATCGGAAAGGGCCCTGAACGGACGGAAGAGTCGTATCAGTATAGCAGAGGGCTCAGCTCTGGTACACATGTGTCAGGGCACTATGTCATTATGCGCACCAAAAACATGGGGATAAATCACTCTCCAACTAGCCGTCTGCGTGGCGCAGGGGCCAGACAGAACGGGGGGGATCGCCTGCGGATAGTGTCCCATCCCGTCGCGTGGGTGATCCAAGGAGGCCCGCGTAAACCTTATGCAAGGTAACAGCTGAGTTGCCACCGGAAACACGATTTCAAGATGCCTTTTTAACCAGCGTTTTCCTTATAAAACCTAGGGGTGCTGGGTCCGTTCTAGTATCTGGCATCATTCCCCCACCAACAACCACTCGACATCATGGGTCTCCCGCTTCCACAGCAACTGAGAATACCATGCGCCTTCCTAGGTGCGCTGGGTATCGTCACCTTTGCGCTCCGCTGCTTCGTTCGTGTGCGTATTGTTAAGGCCTGGGGCTCTGATGATACGTTCATCACTCTTGCGTTTGTATGTTCGCGCAACTTGAAATCACTTTTCACTTTGCCATCGTACTTACAATCTGTTAGATTATGCACATGTGGTACACCGGGACTTTGTTGACAGGCATTCACTATGGAACTGGTCGACGGACTGCAGAGATATCTGTAGAGGACTCAGTACATGCTATGCGTGTAAGTATATAATTTTCTTGAAAATACGGCATTATCTGACTCTATCTAGTGTTGGTGGCTGTGCTTCCTAGCATACGCGTGTTCAATCACCCTGGCCAAAATCTCCGCTGGTTTTTTCTTCCTTAGGGCCACAGGCAGCAAGTCAGTATTCCGTATCACGACCTACGTTATCACGATACTCGCCGCAGTGGTCGGCTTCGGGTTCTTCTTCCTCAGTGTTTTCCAGTGCATGCCAGTCGGCTTTTTCTGGACGCGCTTACAAGGAGATACCAATGGCAAATGCCTTGATATTGAAATCATGATAATAGCCACATACTTCTACGGAGCTGTCACTGCAGGAACGGACATAGCTTGGGGCATCCTGGTCGGAGCTCTCATCTGGAAATTACAGATTGACCGCCGCACAAAGGTTTTAACAGCACCGTTCTTAGGTCTGGCGTGCATGTAAGTGAGGAAAACCCTTTGCAAAAACCGCTTAAATTAACAAGAAAAACAGTGCAAGCTACGCTGCCCTTGTGCGAATGCCCTACGTTGCCAACTTCAAAAGCCCAGACTTTCTATGTAAGCACACCGTAAAACGACGCACACTTCACTTAATCCTAACTATTGCACCCCCTACAGACGCAACCGTCGAAATCTCCATGTGGTCCACAGTAGAAGTCGGCGTCTCCATCTGCGCCGCCAACCTCGCCACAATCCGGCCCCTAATCCACCACTTTACCCATAAAGGCGAATCTTGGGAATCTCGCCAGAACAGGCCGGGACATGCCGCACTAGCAACGATACCCGACTCCCAGGAACTTCCTATGCTAAAAATGCCACCAAAGACTGCAGAAAGCTCGATCACATGTACGGATCCGAAGAGCAGGAATGGCGAGAGTGGAATGACGAGAAGCGTGTCCAACTGGAGTAGGTGGACGCGGAAAGATAGTGCAGCGAACGTGGATGTTCATGTTCTGTGACGATCGTATCTCAGTCATAGGAGAAAGCGTAAATCATTTCTAAAACTTTGTACAATACTGCATTTCAGGTGGCCCTTTCAAACAGAAAGCTGTTTCGCCCCTTTGCTGACACACGGCCTTGTTTAACATTATAATCGCAGCCTAGATAACTGCTGCTTGAATCTTCGCAATAGCCTTCCTCTTCATGTTCGCCTGAATGCAGATAGCTGATCAAAGCAACCGCCCTTGTCGCGTCCCCATATAGTTTATTTCTCAAAACACTATAGACACCCATCTTAGCCTTGAGTACCCGCCTCCGCGCTAGCTCCAGCGCTACACTGAGCATCTGGTCTGTGGGAGCAATAGCGTCGACGATTCCGCTTGTGAGTGCAAGGACCTCTCGGGCCGTCCAGCAATGGGCCTGTAGTAGCGTTTTGTGGGCAATGTCGGGCCGCAGATTAGCTCGGAGTAAAGTCCCCTTGCCCTCAAAGTGCATGCCGAGAATTATCGACGGCTTGCAATTTATTCCGGTTTTATTAGGATCTGGTGCTAAGTATTACACGGGGATGTTGTTATCACTCACCATGCAGCTTTCCCGAATAAGCGTAAGATCATTAACGGCAGGGGTACGTCCACTTCTTGATACCGATCATAGAGATAGTTATACATAACCATGCTTGCATGCATAATTGCTTAATCATCTTCACAAAATACTTTGCCGGCATTACAACTTATGTCTCTTCTCCCCCATCTTAATCTTCTCGAACTCCCTCTGCGGAATCCTCAATGCCTGCCTCTTCAACCCCCTCCCATCAACTCTGTCACCACACTCTGATCAATCTGCCGCTTCATCGATAATACGAGGAACTTCTTAGTCTTAAGCAAGCTCGAACCCACTAGATGAGGACCCAAAATATCATCGACATGTGCAACCACTCGCTCACTTAGCTTCTCATCCTCACCCTCGCCGCAATCCTTAAAGATTTTGTTAACAAACCCACAGGCTACAAGGTCATCTGCTAAAATCTTTCGACTCATAAGAAGTGCTTCTGTCGCTTTACTCGCGCCCATACACCTCACGAAGCCCACTGAAGCGCCGCCTTCGGCAATGAGCCCGAAACTTGTAAAAGGGGTGAGAAGGTAGGCATGGGGTGCGCAGGAGATGAAATCAGAAAACGAGATTAGTGCCGCTGCGATACCTACAACAGGGCGGTTGAGCACCGTAACAAGGATTTTTGAATGCGTATAGAAGGCTTCGGTAGAATTGAGGGTGTAGGCTACCGTCTCCCTGAGGGACTCCCGCCAGATATCGGTGCCGGGATCAATGGGCCTGCTGATTGAGACGTCTACTCCACTGGGTGATTGAGTTAGCGGGGATGTGTACATAAAAAGCACTGGGATTTTATCGTTTGGCATTTTTCCTTCGATGTCCTGGCGACAAATGTAGTTATAACTTTAATCAGGCCGACAACTATACTCGAACACTGACATCATCAGCCCACCGAACACCCTCCCCAAAGTACTGTGGGCCCAGGAATATCTTCAAAACTTTTCTTTTATAGACTTCCTAACGCTTCAGCCGAACCATTAGCTTCATCCATATCGGATTTGGTTTCCCAGCAATTCCATCTCTGCATATGATTTGTGCTCTGTGAAGTATCAATATTTCTTAAAATTCCCTCAGACAAGCCTATGTACTTCTCTAGCACCAAGATAAGAATTATACCCTTTAGAGATATTTGCTCGTACAAAAATAGCATTCCTAATTTTTCAGTCATATATTATGATTACCATACCAGGACTAAGCATATTGTCGTCCAGAAATAGGCTGCGAAACCTCGAGACTCGAGAGACCACAGTGCGGCATAACAAAATACTGTTCATCACCATGCAACATGAAAGCACCCCACTTGAGTTCCTTCTCCCATGGCGCAACTTCATACGGCCTTGCATAAGAAGATGCGGCGATTGCCGCACTGCAAGACCCCACCATCGGAGCAGGACTCAGCTTCTTCCTACCCAAGATGAACATGCCAATCGCCAAAATGACAGCAACGATCAAGGAAAGCAGGATACCCAATGGCGAAAAAGAGAGAGAGATAAAGTCCTCTCCACATCTATTACTGTAGGTTTTGCCATTGGGTAAAAGGAACTCCGGGTCCCAGTGTTGGCATCCTCCAACCTTATTATGTACGCCATGCATATTATACAACTCGACCGAAACTACAAACAGGCTTTGCGACGCCAACCAATGCAGTAGCGTCGAAAACCCCAAGAGCGGCAAAGCATATCGATACGGAAGCTGCAGGAAATACGTACTGCGCTGGTGTCCCCGCCGACTCGTTGAAACGCGAAGTGGCTTGTACCGATTGAAGAAGGTGGACCACTCGTCTCCAAGGAGCATCGACGTGATGGCTGCGTTGTAGGAGAAGTAGATGAGGGAGATGATTACTTGCGGACTGTTTGCTACAAAGACGTTTGAAAAGACACCGAGGAGGCCGGACGAGGCGGTGCCGTCTTGCACAATGGTGCGTGCATCGACGTTGCCGAGGCCAATGCCCAGGATGCTGCGGAGGCTGTTGTCGCCTCGGATTGAGATGTAGGCATAGAAGAAGAGGAAGATTAGGACGCTGATGCCTGTGAATAGGCTGGTGCGGAGTTAGCGGGGTAGTAGTATGTTGAGGAAGGAGGATAGATGCTTACGCGAGACGAACGGTCCATCGCTTTCCTCTTTTGACTGCTGAAGACCATCTACCCGAGTTCATTGTAAAAGTTCTCGGTTGCTGCTGTACTGGCCATCCTTTTCTCGCAGTATGAATGTCTTGCTGAGATACAAGACACATGTTGTGCGCTATCGTGTCCGGCTCGCGAAGAAACGATGCCACCGCATCTCCAACCGTTAACATCGGGTCGTTGCGAAGAGTGAAGAGACCGATCAAAATGGCAGATATCTTCACCACATTAAACGCAATGACTATCAACATCAGATGAACACTGAAGCTCAACTTGCATGTCGGCCCCGTGGGCTCGCTAAGGCAACTTCGCACTGGGTGACCAGCAAACGGTGCCCATATCGACGGATCATCCTGGAGCCGAGGCAAGAAGCGACCGGCTTGCTGCTCGAAACACGAACCGGCTTCACCTTCAAATTGTCTGTAGATCCATGATGTGCCTGTGTCTGCGGAGCAAGTACCGCTGCGTTCAATGTAGTTGGATGCGCCGTAAATCTCGTCGGCTCCCATGACACCTTCGTCAACGACAAGGAAGACGTTGCCTCTTGCTGATTGAAAAGTGGCACTGTAAGCATCGATGCACTCGCGCAGCGTAAGGTTCTCCAGCCGGCCTGCTTTGAAAGCCTCTGCGTACAGTTGGCCGTTGACGTACGGGTTGCTGGTATAACCGCCCGCACTGGTAGTGTTCATTGAGCCGTTGAAGCTGCCATTTTCTATCGCAGCCTTTGTCTCAGGGCCAAATTCGATGATGCCGTATGTCTGGGCTGAGGTGGACATGAAGACTACCGAGTTGTAGCTATCAAGCGTCAGTGTGCATGTTGACGAGTTGGATCATTGATATTGCTTACCAGAGATGCAAGGGAAACGAAGACAGCCCTAGAATCCACCAGCAAACCTTCTTGCGCGCCCCAAAACTCGACGACATGATATTTCCCATGCTGGGTATACCGACGTCGAGCCAGTTTCCTTTTCGATGTGCGTCTTCGACTTCGGATCGGGTAGGAGCTGAAAGACATTGCATGCAATAATTACTCGCACCTAGAATCGCGGTGCTCAAAATGTTGATAAGCAAATGTACGCCAATGTTAACCTTCTTGGTGTAATCACAGGTCGCTTCGTAGAGTATGCCAACACCGTTTGTCGCGCCTCTTGTACGTAGTGCCCACACTAGGAAGGCAGTGTTGACACAGAGTACTGCAAGTCCCAGTAGTATAAACATATACAAGCTCTTCCGCCATTTCTGTGTTTCTTTTCGCTCTTGAGTCGTCTCTTCGACGTTGTTTCCATTATGTGTCAGGAAAGGCTGCAGTTGCGCCTCTGGTCGCTTCGACACATGTACTTGGTACATCGTAGCATCATAAAACAAGATGAAGTTGGAATAAAATGTTGTGAAAAAAATGCGGGGGACGGAATTGTGCGCGCCATCGCAAGGTATATGCAATGCCACGATACATGTAGGCTTGAAGCTGTCCAACCTCGCGCCATGGCGTGCGGCTGATAGTCATGAGCGCCCATGATTGCAACTAGTAATTGGGCGCCATTTAACGCCACAAGGCCACTGCTTGCTTCTAACTGGCTGCTCTCTATTGGGGAGATGCAGCTAATGCAGGCTGCAACAATACACGCTTCAGTGCTCAATTGCTAAAAGATCAAAGCGACGACCTTTTCACAGCCGCACTGAACTACCTGACACGTACCTACACCGCCTCCTGTGACTATTTTGTGCCTTTACTTTGTGGTTAAAGATGCAAGTGAGAGTCTAAAATAATGGTTGCAACGACCTGCAGCCAAGCAGCGGAAATACTCGATATCAAAAGATAAAGAAGGCTTCCTTTTGCTATTTAGAAAGCGATGTGATGGGACTAAACGACAAGATAGATCATTCACAGTTATTACGTCCAAACCTTTATCGATTCAGTTTATATTACAATACTACAAGAAGCTGATTATTAGTAATTTTTCAATCCCCGCTAGTTTAATCAAACACATCCGTTGCAAATCTCTCATTGCGCAGCCCCTCGAACCACTCCTTGGCCTTTGCATCATCCACCTCTCTGTTTTCCTTCTCTCCAATTGTCTCCTTTGCAATCTTGATCAACGTCTCCTGCACTCCATCACCAACACCACGAGACCCGCATACGAATACCTTGGCACCAGCATCGAAGAGTTTGACAACATCTGCGCGATCGTGATAGATGCGGTCCTGGACGTACTTGCAGCCATGTGTCTCTTCGGGTTGCCGCGAGAAGGCGAGGCGAAGAGAGACTGCACCCATGGCTTCCCAGCGCTTGAGCAAGTCGCCGTATATCAGGTCAATTGAGGGTGAACGACAACCGTAAAACAAAATTGCAGGAGCCAGTTTGCGGCCTGCTGCTGCTTGAGCGGCGCGTTCCTGGATGAAACCCCGGAAGGGCGCCAGACCCGTTCCAGCGGCGATCATGATAACGGGAACATTCTGTGAGTCTTTGGGGAGATGGAAAGCCTGATGCGAAGAGCGTACGTTGACATGGAGTTTGTCCCCCGGCACGAGGTTGGCGAGGTAGTTTGTTGCTACACCCACATATCGTCCGTGTCCGCTAAGGGCTGGCTGGTCGACCACTGAGTAAGTCAGTGTGACGTGGTTCGGGTTCCACAGCGGTGAAGATGAAATGGAGTATTGTCGAACACGCATAGGTGGCAGCATCTTGAGGAAGATACCGAGGGGCAGCTTCGTGGATGGGAAGCGCTCCAGGAGATCTAGCACCGAAACTCTCTTCGCGGTGATCTCCGAGCTAAAGGCTTCGTCTGCAAGGCGAGTAAGCTCCTTCTTCTCGGCATCGTCCCGAGTGCTTTCGATAAGGGCTTGGACATTGCGTTTGCTGGCGGGTTGCGCAAGTTCAACATATGCCCCGAAAACATCGGTAGCGCTAAGGGGGGTATCGGTCGGGAGGATAGTAGGACCAGCGGAATTGATTGTCAGCATTGAGTCCCAAGTGAGACCAAAGTATCTCATCGCGCGATGGATGTTCTCCTTGGGGTTGAGAGGTAAGACAGCTAGATAATCGCCTGCAGAGTACGTCATATCAGACGGCAGACTGATCTCAATGTGCCTTTTCTCTGTTGCATCAGAGCTGGAAAGAACCTCAACCTCCTCAACACGAGCCTCACGAACATCTTGGCGGAGTGTGGATGATCTTGGTGCGGTGACCTCGACATCGAGCGTCGTCTCCAAGGAGCTCTCGGCATCTGCCTCTATAGAACCGTACTTTTCGCGCAAGGCAGGCCACAAGACTTGGTCTTCCCATGTCTCGAAATCAGTGAAGATGTCGCCAGCTGCGACGTCAGTACTACCCATTGGCACCAATCTGGTAGCACCTCGCTCCTCCAAGGTAGCGTCAAGATACTTTGGAACCTTGTGGAAAGTCTTTGCCCAGTCGCGGTGGCCGCATCCGAAAACGGCATATGAGACATTCTCGAGATCTTTTCCTTTGAGTGTGCCCACCCAGTTGACAAAATGTGCGGCATTATCAGCGGGCGCTCCTTCGTAAGATGGTGTCACAATAACGACAGGTTTGTCGGTAGGGAGGTTCTCGCGGGCAGTGTCCAATGTGTTTACCACGTCTACCTTGAAGCCATGGTTTGCAGCATCGCTAGCTAGTCGATTTGCAAGTGCCTCGCAAGTACCAGTATTGGATCCATAATAGATAGCCATGGGTTTGCCGTTGGTAGTCGCGGCTTTTTTGACAGGCCCACCATTGGCTGGTGCTGGGTCATTGACGCTTGACGAAGCTAGAGACCGTTCTAGTGAGGTGGGAGATATGCCGTTGCGGAGATGTGCATGCATATAAAAGTCTTTTGGCTTGATGGTGAGCGTTTGCTTAATCTGGAGTTGATACGACGAGTCGTCCATTGTGAAGTTGAAATTCTGCAAAAGAATAGCAAGCACCAAGAGAGCCTCTTGCCAAGCAAATGGCCTGCCGATGCAAGCGCGCATGCCGTTACCGAAAGGCTTCCAGCAGTCGGGAAACTCTTTGTTGCGTCGTTCGAATTCTTCATCCAGCATTCGTTCTGGTCGGAACTCCTCTGCATCTTCGCCATAGACAGCAGGATCACGATGTAACTAACGCAAGAGAGGTTAGTTGTTTCGCTACGACCGCAAATTGGCAAAACTGTCTTACCATTGGGAGCAGTGTGACTATGGGAACACCGGCTTTGATGGCATATTTGCCTCCAATAGTAGTGTCCTCATTGGCAGTGATTCCGAAAGAAGGGGCGGTCGGTTGTAGGCGCAAACTTTCTCGAAGCACCGCGTTAAGGTATGGGATCTTTGACAAATGTTCGACTGTGATGGGACCCTTGCCAATGACCTCGTCCACCTCTTGCTGAGCCTTTTCGTAGGCTTGGGGGTTCTTCAGCAGGAAATAGAATGTGAAAGAAAGCAACCCTGATGTAGTTTCGTGACCAGCAATCAAGAAAGTGATCATGTTATCAATGACGTTATCATCCTATTGATTTTAGTGAGAGTTTTCGAGAAAAGCAAGGAATGGTGGACATACAGTCATTTTCTCGCCCGTCTTTGGGTCCACACCACTGAGCATACCGTTGAGCAAATCTTTCTTGTCGGTGGGGTTTTCTCTCCTTGTCTCGATGACTTCCAGACTAGTCTTGCGCAGCAATTCGATATCCCTCCAGTATTTCTGGGTCTCTGCACCATAGAACATTTGAGAGATGGGGTCCCTTCTCGCCCGGTCGCCACTGGTTCTCAAAAAGTCGGCCATGGCATCGATGAAAGGATGCATGCGTTCGGAGTAATATGAGTTGAAGCGATAGTCCATGGCACACAGGGCAATGGTATCCAGTGTCAGTCGTGTAAAGTCGTCAGTGACGTTTATGACGTTTTCAGGTCCGTGTCTCGCCCACTTCATCACCAACTGAGAGGCAATATCGTGCATCTCATCGAACATGTTACGGATAGCGAGTGGACCAAGCTGGGGCATTAGTATGCGATGTGCAATACCCCAGTTCTTCTCTTGCGGTCCATATGCTGTGAAGAGTCCATCGTGAACACCATTGCGGACCTGATCTAGAGAAGCTGCAATGATTTTTGAGAAACGTTCCTCGTCGCAAATTTCGTGCATATGACGCTGATCGGCAACAACGATACGCTCGCCGCCCAGCCAAAATTTCCATACGGGGCCTGGAATGATCAGTAGTTTTCTTGTAAAGTGGGTAACAATGCCCTGTCATAACCTGGTACGGTAGAAGCAGTGTTGTATGGAGTATGGGAATATAACAAGTTCAAGGTTTTGATGGATTTTTTTCGCTTTGCCCACGGTGTATATTGGGCGTGCATTGGAAAACTGTGAATAGGTCTCTGAGATGTCACTTACCGTATTTCAAGGTCAAGTTGCACAATGACTGTATGGGGCAGTTTGCATCGATATCTGCAATATTGCCAACAATGGGCAGGCCGGGAGGGCCTGGGATTGGCTCAAGCTCCATTTCAGCGACACAAAAACGGCAATGTAGTGCAAAGGTAAAAAATGCAGAATGAAACAAAGGATATGAATGGTCGTGGTGGTGGTATGGTTATAAGTATACTGGATATGCTGTGAATAGTGTGGTCTTATATAGAACGGATGAAGATAAGAAGAAAAATCTCAACTACAGCACGTCGTTTACCAGATGACGCACTAGGTCGTGGCTAGGTTCTCTGTGCGTTCCAAGTGGTACCTTCTCCTATGTTGGGACCTATTGATGCTTGAGAAAGATGCCTCGGTCGTCAAGGAGAACGTAGGGCACGGTGATTCGTCGTTTGTGACTAGGGCGGTGCTCCGACTGTGCGCTAGGTGGGGCGCAACCTGCAAGAAATGGCTCGGCCGTGACGGAGTCAATGCGAAAAGTGGTATGAGATTGGAACTGACTGACTGTCGGTGTCAAGTTGTCGCCAGTGTACAGCGAGGCAGTATGTTTTGGGAAGTCAAGGCCTGGGAGAGAATGGACAAGGTTAATGTCGTGGCGGAGGAAAAGAGGGACATGTCGATCCTGACGCCATGCCAGCGCAATTCTCGTGTAGACATTGGCCATGTCATTGCTAGTGTGGCCATGCACATGCACATGTCTTGTCAGAGTAACTCTAGCCACGCCGACGACGTTTAGGGTCGGAGGTTCCGTTGGCTCCGATGTGCCGAGGTCGAGATGAAGGAAACATTTGCGTGTGCGTGCTGTCGGAGTCGCACCGGACATCTTGGCAGTCGGAGGCATCAAACTTTGGACACTTCCGCCGTTTGGTTTCATCTTGACACGCCCATCGGCCATGGTACTCTCTATGTAGTAGTATGCTGTTGAACGGGCAGTGGGCGGGTAGTGTCTTCCGGGCCCGTAACTCCGACCAATGGCCGCATGCGACATGCGACGGTGAAAGGACCATGCTGGTTCGGGCTAGATCTCCCGGACGCCCTCCGCAGCTTCCTTCCCCGCATGCTGTACTTGCCCATCCCCAACTCCCCCAATGGCTGTCCCATTGCCACCAGCGTCCAACCTCCATGCCATCCTCCTTGTCACGAAGTCGCGCTCGCTAGGGCCTCGTCTCGTATTCCACTATCCTCCGCTGTCGCCATCGGCAGCCGCTCTTGCAGCCGCCAAAGACCCAGCCTGGTTTCGTCACGACGCGTCCACAGCAAGCGGCGATTCGCGCAGCTCAGATAGTGACTGGGACAGCAGCAGCGACTCGGATGACGATAACGATATCGAGATAGGAAGTCGTACGAGCGGCGGCCGAGGATCCGGAAGAACCTTGACCGGCCGAGTGAGCGACAGGTCCAAGCTTGGCGCTGGCGTATGGGGCAAGCAGGAGACCATTGACGAGGAAGATGCCGAGGAAGATGATGACAACAGCAGTAGAGAACGCAGGGGAAGGGGAGGCGACCACGATTGGGACACCGTTTTGGGCTTCAAGACGGACGCACTGGAGAAGATGCTGAGTCCCAGCAAGGACTACAACAAGCGGCGCTTCGAACTGGGCGTAGAGAGCATTGTCTTCGTCGGCGCGCCCATGTTTGTAAGAGAGGATGGGCTCTGGAAGAAACTCAAACGGAAAAAGAAGAAGCGATCCGACAAGGAGAAGCTGGAAGATATTCATCTGGCAAAGAACCTGCCCACGGCGGCTGCCGACGATGACGAAGATGGCGCTGATTCTCCCGAACCACCCCCAAAGCCTGCCCCTGAGCCATTTAGATACCCAGAAGGCTTCGAGCCTGGTTACGGGCATGACTCCATGTCTAGTGGACCATCGGCAGCCCCGTCAGAAGCTGGGTCCGATACTCGAAGCAACTCGACTACACACGACAATAACCCCGACATGACCATGTTCAATGTTGTGTTCGTGCTGAATCCGCCTGTCCTAGAGTATCAACAGCGTGTCAAGGAAATGTACGACAACGTCACGCGCAAATATGCAAAGGCACTCAAGTACGAAGAGGCGCGCTTCCAATATGTGTGGAAAGAGTCGAAGCGCATCATCGACATCAAACAGCGAGCAAAGGAAACCAACGAGTCTCTTACAGAAACATGGCGCAAGATTGTCAACACATCGCCCCTTGCCAAGTCCATTGCAATCATGTTTGATGCAATATCGCATGACAAGATTGCACACATCCACTTCGATGCTACCTTTAACACGTCGTTTCAGATACCTCAAGCAGACTCCACACCATATTTGCCCAATGCCATGGAACCGCAAATGCCAGGTTTATGGCTGACAACTTCGAATGTTGTCCTCGAGGACGATGAGGCACCCATGACACAGCATGCTGCATTACTGCTTCTTGAAGATGCCGAGGTATTGATCAAAGACCTCGGTGGAGATGCATCAGGCAATGCTGCTGCTATAGCCTTCTATATTCGTAATATCATACCCACCAAGTCACTTTTGAAAATCTCCAAAAGACACAACATTTCCGCCCACGACATGGAGTATATAGCGAGTCACCTCGTCTATTGGCGGCGGGCGCGACTCATTGCGCCCCTGTCACCGCGCGATACATACATTGTCAGTCCAAACGCCGACATGACGGTTCTCCCCGCCGCTATTGCTGTCTATTCACAACGCTTCCCTACCTTGCCTACTTTGCCAAAGATATTGAGTATGCTTTCTGGTACACCCCGGCCGTACAGAAGTTTCATACCAACAGCTGAGCACCGCGACGCCTATATAGAGATTCTAGCTTGGCTAATGCGAGGTGGCTGGGTGACCCAGTTACGTACCTTTGCTTGGGTGCGTGTAACACCGGAGATCAAAGCTCAAGTCGCTACGGAAATGGATCGTGAGGAGCGGATTAAGAAGGCGGAAGAGGCGCGCAAGGAATTGCTCGGGGACAATGAATCAAATGCGGATAGTTTGCTTTCTAACAAGCGTAACAGCTTACTGTCTTTGAGCTCTGCAAGGACATCGTCACCGTTACGACGTACTAGAAGGGATGGAGAAGACGAAATGGAAGCGAGCACAATTCTGAGCCCACGACTATCGTCTACAGCAATGACACGCAGCTCTTCTGCGCGGACTGGCTCAGACGCCGGAAGCACGACTAGTCAACGAACAACAATTGCGCTCAATCCAGCCCAACGAGCCGAATCACCATCACATATTGGTCTTCGAGACGTCAGGCCGCATCGACCCTCGCCACTGCACTTGAAGCCTACTTCTCCCTCTCCATCTCGCAATTCTATCGTCTCCCCAACCTCTCCCCTAGAGAAACCGCCACCCTTGGATCCCTCGTCCTTTACCCATACCACTATTCTCTCGCCTCAAAAGGCATCTTCTCTTGAGGCCCGATGGTTGGACAAGATTGCGCAGACCTTTGAAGAAACTGGGGTCGAGTCTGCAAATCCAAGCCCTCCAAAGAATACCGAGGGTGGATTTGGTGGCATAACGGGAAAAGAGCTTAGAGAAAGCTGGCCAATGCTCTTGAGGCATTTGGATGGTAAACATGCGATTGAGGACGTGTCAGCCAGAGAGGGAATTAAAAGGAAAAGAGTAGCTGCACTATTCAACGCTGTCAAGGAGAGAGGCTGGCTAGTTATCACACGGCATTGGTAAGATGGGGTTGTTCTTGATTAAAGTGATACCTGTTTCTTTTGTTGTATCTAATCACCAAACGGGTAGTAGAATACATAGCCCCTTGTAACCAGATGAGATATTCTATACTTTGGAGTCTGTGCCATATATGAACTGTAAGACTATGAATGTACAATTCCCGATTTAGTCACTCGAATACCATTAACCAGTATATTGCACAGGCTGATTTAGAGTGTTGACCTTTCATGCGGCCTGAATGCGCAATGCACGTCATCCCGAGGTTGCAAGTGTCGCAACGCACAGGCCAGCGACCAGTCAATTGCGCTAAGTTTATCCAAATCTCACTCGACCACAAAGTACACATCTATCTGCGCCGTTCCTACGTCTTTATCGTGTACCGGGTACATCTTACATCTATCCGTCCGATTTTACTAAACTATCACGTCGCTGCTATGAGTAATCTCGGTGGAGCGGGTTTGGGACAAAAAGTCCAGAAGCCGAACCCGTAAGTGCATCTCAATGCGCCAGTCGCACATTACAGCGGCAAAGAAGCCGGCAGGAGACTGTGCTATTATATGATTTTCTTGAATAGCTCCTTGACTAATCAAAAACATGTAGACCCGAACGTGGCTCATTCCCTCTTGATCACGATGGTACGTCCTGCCATAGCTTGTCCCTTATTATTCTGGCTCGCTTGCTCGATTCTGTCTATTATCTGCGTATCCAACCTCAGCCGCTAACAATCTACTTAGGAGAATGCAAAAGCATCATGATGTCATATCTACGATGCATCAAGTCCCACCGGGGAAGCAACGATCCCGAATGCCGCAACCTTTCCAAGTCATACCTCTCTTGTCGCATGGACCGGTACGTAGACTGCCCGACCGGCTCTACAAATATACTCTTGCACTACATTAGGCAATTCTACAAAGAAGGGTTTGGCTCACATCTGTTGTGGTAACAGGAATCTCATGGCACCCGATTCTTTCAAGAATCTGGGATTTGGTGACGAGAACGAGAGCCCTCAAACATTGCAGCCCCAAGATCAAAGCAACTCCCGGAAATCGTAAACCGGATCGTCGAATCAATAGATATCAAGGTTTCATGCAGCCTGCTCAGCGATCCCATAGCATGTGAATAGCCGAGCCGCCGTACGAACCCCACTGCTATCCCTCGCTACCCTCTTCGACTTGGCGACCGTATTCGCCACCGGCTGAGACCCGCCATGCGCATTCATGCAACTGCTCAGCAGCCATGACAGGTTACATTGACAAGACGACATGCATGCCAGGGCGCGGGGCATGAGACACCATATGGGTCGAAAATGGGGGCATGGGAACTGAACTGAAATGGCTAATGACGGACATGGAACCAGGGTTGCATGCAACAGAGACAGCAGGGAAAGGACACTTACTCCTACAAATAGCCAGCTTGGGTTGGTGCACCTAGATGCTTGCAAACCATTCAAAAGATGGGCTGTGACCAGATGCACCACGACAGGTGGAGAAACAGCGCGTAGTCAAAAGGCCATATGACTGCTTTTTCTCCTTTTGTGTGAGTGGGGAGGGGGTGTATGGGGGGGGGGGAGGAATGTGAGAAGGCGGGGTTCTAGTCCTATACCATCACACCTCTCTTTTTCTCTCCTCTCATTTTACTCCCTCAAAAAAAGGTTGTTGCCGGATCTAACCTCTATTACTATTACTCCAGTATCAGCCTGACATCTAACATGCAGAAAAATATCCACACACCCACATACGTACATACATACTTTCACATTCCCATGCACACACGCACACATATATATAGCAACCCATCTTTAGTTAGCTAAAAAAAAAGCCACATAACGCTTGCCGTCGCAACCGAGACATGTCTCTCCCTCTCTTCCTAACCTGCGCAAAAAAGAAACCCCCAGATCTAGGACCCTGTTTCTGTCGATCGCATTGAGTGTGCGACTGTTGTACAGATGAGTGATCGACATAAACCCCCTCCCCCCCAGATCCTTTTTTTGCTTTCTACTACTACAACCTCGTTGTCAGATGCCGATTTTCTCGTGTTGCGTTACGCACCCACCACTTTCTTGGGAAAAGTTCGATGGCGCGACGGGGGAGAGGGGGGTGCGTAATGCGTAATGCGTAACGCATATGCTGTGGAGGATGCAGGTTGTGTAAGAAGGTGTTAGTGTAGTAGTAAGTAGGAAGTAGAGAGGTTAAGAAGTCTTTGGGTATTTAAACATAGTGAGCGATAGCAATTTATACGTTTCGTGGTAAATGTATGAGAGGTCTTTGTGGCATTTATCTTTGCTTGTTTGGCCGGTTCGAGGGAAAGTGTTTGGGATTAGGGATGTTGAGGGCGTAAGGCGGTGTTGTCAAGAGAGAGAGAGGGGGGGCTTCATGAGAATGGTTTATCGTACAAATGTTCGATACTGAGATACTTGAAGAATAGATCCAGGTAATAGGGCATGAAGATGAAAAATCCAAAACCCTCCTCACCTCTCCATCCACCATCCCATCTCCCACAACACCACCCTACCCCCGTTCCCTACCCTCGCATACACGGCTACCTGCATACCGACTCGTGGTACCGCAACCGTTTCTTGCGTGACCCAGTTCGTGCGATACGGACGCTTCCATGTGATTGGCTGCGGGTCTGCAGACAGGATTTGGAGGAACCCCCCCCCCCCTCTCCCTCTCACTGGGGATCGATCGGCGGACGTTGCACACACGCATACGTAAACACTACTTTTGAAGGAAAGCCTGTCTCGTCAAAGAGATGGTTAGGGAGGTGATCGTGGTTTAGAAGAGGAGGGGGGATACCGAGGCATGATAGCCGCCACAAGTTGCCAGCCTAACCTGCCTGCCCTGTCCTGCCCTGCGCGTATGTATAGCAAAAGGGACGGGGATATCGCCACTTGAGTATCACGCACAAGTCCCGTTTCCAGATCCTTCACAACCCGGTCCTAGCGCAAGTCTTCCTCCCTTTGTCCTTCATCCACATCTTCCATGCGAACAAGGCTCACGGCCAAGGCAGCACAATATTTCAACTGAGACAAAAAAAAAGGAGGGCACCTAGCCTAGTACATACTCTTTGTACTGCCCCCCCTTCCTCGAGTCCCGCCATCTCAATCTTATGGGGCCAAAAGTAAGGCAAATTGGAAGTAGAGACAAAATAAGCGTTCTAGGCGGCATAAACCTTCGAAAACCCATTGCTATCGCCTCAGTTTTTGAGCTTCATCACTGCAAGACTTGATCTTTTCTCTTCCTCTCCCGTTCCACATAAGAAGAAGAGAGCGGGATAAGGATGCAGGGTTAGACGATTAATGTGTGCAGTCGGCAAGTTTTTTTGCTTTTGTTTTGTTTTGTTTTGTTTTGCAAATCTAGCGCGATTGCCCATGGAGAAAACAATATGTTTGCTAGCCAGGCGATTTGAAGTAATCGCATTCTCTCGCCTGAGGGACCTACCTCCCTAACCCTAGAGTATTCAGCCTTCCGGGATTCGAGACATGGGCTGCCTGAAACCGGTTTCCCATGTGTTTGTTGCGGTGAACTCTTTTCGGATAGCAGCAACTTTATCGAGGCGTCATGTTTGTTGCCCTTTATGACGCTTACCTGGAGGACACACTATAATCAACAAGGGCGTGGCTACCTGCAGCGCTTGAGAGCCTCATTCTAGGCGACCACAACACGAAGACGAAGCACATGCCAAAGAAGTTTTGTTATGTCATGAGATTGAAACTAGAACTAAAACAACCAGTGCCTAACGAAAACAGAACGCGAGTGAATAAACGTTCCCAAACAGCCTATCATGACGCAGAACCTCGTCTTCCCCAGTAACATCAGCGTCAGATACCACAAACGCCATAAATCGAACACGCCGATCCATGCTTATGATGTAACTTCATTGGCCAAAACGGTATATTAAAAAATCAGAGTGGTAATATGCAAACCTGAGCCGACAAAACAAACAGTACATGCTATAGATATCCGAAGAAAGATCAGTTAGAGAGATAGCAAACAAAGGGCCATAGATCTGCCAGAAAACAAAACAGAGCCACAACCTTGAAACAGACATATGAGATTGCCATGTAATGGGTGATGATGGGAGTGTAGAGCCCGGCGTTGACATCGTAAAGACATAAGGACTCGGTAGTAGCCTGGATTCGTAAGGGAGCTCCAAGGACGCCGGGGTGATGATGTGCCATGAGTGGATAGAGATATTACGCAACGAGATGGGAAGTGCTGTGATGCAAGCGGGAAGCTTTGTTCGTCCTTGTCCAGCAGAGACGGTACACATGGAGCCGTCACATGGAAATGTTCTTCCACCGTGCGGATATAGCCTGAATGTGGTGGCTCCAGGGTATGCATACGGCAGGATGCAGGAACGGATGCGGGGTATCGCGGGGTATCATAACGAAGGAATCGGCGAAAAGACAGACAGGGCCAACAGTAGGAAAAGACTTCTCAAAGGGCCTCAGCCTCAGCCCATGTCCATACCGTACTCGTCTTCCTCCTTCAGGCTAGTCCAATACTGCGGTTGGTTTGATCCAGAACCGCTACCAGTGCTTTGCATACCTGGACTAAGGCTCTGTGGTGAGACGCCGTTGAGGGGTTCACCAGCCAGGTTGGTATGCTTGGGTACTCGCAGGCCTGAGCCGGGGCCGCGCGAGTATCTGAAAGTACCGGCGCCGTTCTTCTCAAGCGCATCGAGGATTTCCGTCTTCATTCGCTTCTCGTCCTCGGACTGTTCGACAGACCACTCTTCACCAGTTGCTTGCTGGAGTCGTGCAGCCAGCTCATCGCATTCCTGAATCTTCTTGGACAGCATCCACATGAGATCACGTGTCCAGCTTACGGCACCGTTGAGAATATCACCCTTGTTAGGACCCTTGTCCTTTTCTTCGATTGGCAGACCTTGTGTAATGTTACCGGCTGCTCGCCTTCCACTTCCGCCAGCTAGAAGTGACGTGGCTTGTGGTGGTGACATACCGCTAGTGGCCATGGTAGGTGAGAGTGGGCCATTGTTGTTGATGTGCTTGCGGATCTTCTCATCCTCTAGACGGTGCTGAGGTACAAGACGAGACAAGTCGTGGATGCGCTCGTTGATATTGTCCCTGCGGCGACGCTCCACCAAGTTGTGCGACTCGCGGCGTCGGCGCTTCTTAGCGTCGGCGTTTTGACCAATATCAACCTTGGCGGGGAGTGAGTTGTGCTTGCCCGAATGCAAGACGTCGGTGATCTGCTGATGGTGCAGACCGCCAGTATGGGGTGATGCCGTAGGCGAATCGATCCATGAGTGGGCACTCCCTGGCGTTCCCTCCCACTGGCCAGACATGCTCTTGTGGTGTCGGTGCATGTTGGTCATGATGGGCTGGGTGTTGGTGAAGTTACCCGAGTCGGGTGTACCAAGGTGGAGGCCAGCCATAGCAGGCGTCTTAGGTGACATGGGAGCCCGGTTGTCGGAGGTGGTCCTGCTCATTGTGATACGCTGGCGCATAGAGCCAGTTGGCATACTGCCGGAAAAGCTCCTCATCTGCGATCCTGATTGGTACTGGTTGAAGTCAAAATTGCCAGGGTGTACAAAAGGACTGTGAATGGGTAGGTCGTCTGGGGTGTTGGAATAGACCTGGTTCACGCTGGCATTGTTGGCGTGGCTGTGGTAGTAGTCCTGCTGTTGACTCATTTGGTCCTGAGAAAAGTTGTTAAAGCCGCCCGGTTGCTGCTCAAAGGTGCCAAGCGACTCGGCAAGCTCGTCGTCGGCAATGCCAGCACCACCCTGCATGTAGCTGTTAGTGCCAAAGTGGTTGCCCATCATGTTTCCGTTCATGTTGAGCTCGGAAGGGTTGATGCCACTTGCGTTCTCGTGTCCGGAGAACTGGGCGTTTGTGTATTGTTGGTTCATGTCCAGGCCATTGTGGCCCATGAAGCGGCTGTTGAAAGACATGTCGTCGACCTCTTCTTTGATATATGGTTGAGGTGATCCTGTACCATTCATGTTGAAGATATCAGCGTCTAGCACGTCGTCAGAGGGGGACTCGAAGCCAAGGTCCAGCCTCGCAATCGGCTTCTGGGGAGAGTAGGAAGAGGGAGGAGTGAAGAGAGCGTCCGCTTCAGGGACAGTTAGTATGGTTCCGTAGTACATGGTGGAAATGACGGAAGAAAGAATGTGCTGAGCGAGGAGGATTCGCCGACGAGCAGAAGGAATGATATAGAAAGCGAGAGATGCGGATCGAGTGGAACAGAATGGTGCTCTCGTGACAATGTAGGATAAACTGACGTTACTAAAAGGCGTACTTACTAGGCTTTGGCATTACTGTGGGTTGCAGTATCCCAGAATTGTGGATGGGTGTGGCCGAGGGCGGTTGCTTGTGCCGAACGTTGAGATCTGAAACGATCTATCGTCGGCTCAAGCCAGTGACCGAGGGACGCACTCGCAAGCTGGCAGAATGGTTGCAGCACGAGACGGCCTGTGTCCCTATATGGGAATTGACGGACGCTTGCTGTGTGGTGAGCACAAAGAGGGCGCGAGCAAGCTAAGGAATCTTTAGAGCGACGCCTGATACTCGCTAGCAAGCCTCTGGTCTTGTTGGGAGGGGGAAGCTAGTGTTTGTCTGTGGGAAGGGCATTAGCACCATGTCTGGCATGCACGAGTCATCTGTCACGGAAGGTACTCACTTCACTTGTCCGGGCAACGGATACCACGGGTTGGGTGTTCCGGAGATGGTTATGGGTGGGCGTGGGGGGAAGCAAGGATGCGGCCTATCTTCGGAGCCAGATTGCGGGCTGCGGCGGGTGATTGTGGCTGTGGGCCGAATTTGGATACTGAGAAAGACATGTCAGCGCACAGTCCAGCAGGGCAAGTGTTGGGTGGTTGAAGGGTCGGGTGCATGCGTGTAGCGCACAGATGGGTAACCCGCGAGGCAGGCAACGGAGGACGACAGCCGTGCTGCACGCCGGCACTGTGGGGACCGTGGTACGGGAGGACCAAAGCAGCGAAACAGTGTCACTGCTCCGGGGTGGTGTTGGGGGCTTTTTTTTGTTTACAGCCCAGGCAGCCCAGGCTGGCCCAGGCTGAAGCGCAGCACGAGGACGGTGGTGAAGGGGTGGTAAGGAAGGAAGGAGGGAGGGGTGGTGATGGTAGTGGTGGTGGTGGTTGTTCAAGGAAAGAGCACCGAGCAGCGTTGACTCACCTTCGATTCCAGCAATGCTCAATGGAGATGGCAGCTGGAAGACTCGGCTTCTCTTTTTCGGAGAGAGGTCGAGTGAACAAGTTGGGAGAATAGTCGGCTACCTGCTGGTGTGCAAGAGGGAGCAAACTTGGGGGTTGGAGAGTGAGGTTGAAGGTAGTGGTAGTGGTGGTGGTAGTGGCGGTGATGATGCCGAGGGGAGCCTGTTTGTTGTCGACGGGGGTGAGAGCGGGGGGCTTTGGATGGGTGTCGAGGGGAGTTTGGTGGAGTGGAGGTGAGTTGGTGTGCGTGGTGGGATGCGCTGTGAGGGCTTTGGGGCAACGCGGTGGAGGGGGTGGGTAAAATAGCAGGAGTGGGCTCTGGAGTAGGCGGTCCGGGGGGTTAGTGGTGGGGAGGGCGGTGGCAGGATGTTCCCAGCAGCAAGCGGTGGATGAAGCGTGCTAGGCGCGGTGCAGCTTCTGGGCGATGGGGGCAGGAGGCGCGATGGGAGCGGCCCAGTCTGCAACAGCGATGCAATGGCTGCCGCGGCTCTGAGAAGAGGAGAGACGGGGCAGCTCAAGCGAGGGAGCGAGGGCGCGGTGTGGGAGGAGGCCCTAGGCCGGAAGGCGGTCAGAGAGGGTGGTGTTCTTAGTCGGGGCGCGCCAAGCAGCTATGGCCGGCCGGCGAATCAGTCCGTGGCAGCGAACTACTAGCCGATGCTGTGTGGCAGCGGTCGAGGACAAGCGGGCGTCCAGTGGGCGGCGTGGTGCAGCAAGAGGCAGAGGCAGAGCAATGGCGACAGCCGCTGCAGTGGTTTGCGCAACGCGGCGCCGAGCGGGTGACGTAGGGCGTAGGCGACGTTGTGAGATGGGGGGAAGGCCGGGCCGGAGGGGTACTGCGCTGTATATGTCGTGATAGATTGTGTGTTGCGAAGAGGGGTGGATGGCTGTCGGTGTCTAGTGTAGCGTATGTATGTACATATATATATATGTACGGATGTATGTAATGTAAGGTGCGGATTACTACTACTACAACTACTATGTAGCGTGCATTCTATTGCAGCAAGGGCGAGACAGACAATTATTGGGCCACCGACGGACGCGGCACGGCAGCATAATATACTCTGGCTCAGCAACGAGCAACGCGCCTCTCTGCTCGCCGTGCCTCTACCTGTCGCGTCGCATCAGGACGAGGCAGTCTGCAAGCCGCAAGCCCACCGTCCAACCCTGGCGATGCGGACACCATCCGGCTTGCAAGCGGCCTCGTCTGGTCACTCGCAAGCCGTCGTGTCTCAGCTACCCGGTCCTGCCAGCCCTGGTAGAGGACGCGCGATGTGACTCACTAGCAGGCCCGCAAAGGACGTCATCTATATGTTGCCCGGCTTTCCAAGGCAGCCCTGGGCCCGAGGGTGTGTGTGTGTGTGTGTGTGTGTGTGTGCAAACGGCCATGTGTGTGTGTGTGTGTGTGGGCGTGCGTGGTATGGGTATGGGTGCGGGTGAGCATGGTCTGGGTGTGGGTGTGGGTGGGCATGTGTAAGGGCTGCGCTAACCCGACTCGGCCGCGTGGTTCACCCAGCACTGCGAGTCGCAGCGGGAGGCGATCGCGCGCTAGTCGCTGCAATGGCCTAGCAAGTCCAAGTGTGCAAAGCATGGCAGGCTGGCCCTCGCACCAACTCACACGCCTTCGCAAGAGCAGTCGGCGCTACTCCACTCCTGGGCGGCGAGCAGACTACATTCCTATCTCCCATCACCGATCTTCTCTACTCTAGTAACTGTAACCACCGCCTGCCCTTTCCTGACCAATCACCCCGGCCACAGCCACACCTCCGCCCCCTCCCGGCCACACTGGACGCCCTCGCCCTCGCCCTCGCCGCCTCGTCACAAGCCTCGCCCACCCATCACCGTGTCTGAGACGCCTGTCTGACTTCTGTCATTGGGTCTCTGTCGCCTACTCCCACGTCTACTCCGACTCTACACCGCACGGACATCATCTGCACGAAATCCTCCGGTCCGTGGGCAGTTGTTCCTACTCGAGTATCCCACGACCGCACGCATACTTGCAACCCCGTCTCCATCGCCCGCCGCGCCAAGCACCATCTATCTAACTCTGCCAAAGCCACGCCCTCTACTGCTACGGCACTTCCCTAACATCCCTACTATCTTCCTACCCAAGGCCCCATCTTCTCTGGGTGTCGCCTGCTGCGGCTTCTCCCAAACCTTCGCTGGTACCCAAGAACCCAAGTCGCGTCCCCCGCGCCCACGCCTATTTCTGCTAGCCTCCATATACGCTCGCGACCGCCGTGCCCAGCAGCAGGTTTCTTCTGCTCAACCACACGGCGCTAGCATCTCGTGCTCCTCCACCCTCCACCGCTACAACCCTCTCCCACAATGGCGTCCGCTTCCTTCCGAGAATCCATGAACTCGCTTGGCTGGTCCAGGCGCGAGTCGCAGGCCCCCGTGAGCACCGCGCCGCCCTCGCTACTCGATAGAATACAGAACCTGAATCCCTTTGGCGAGGGAGGCTATGTGCAACTCCCTACCACCGAAACAAACCCCGGTGCCCCTCTGCCCGCCCCGACGAGAAGAGAGGAAGAAGAGGGCTGGTTTGCGCGTAAGTTGCTCCTTCCTTCGTCCCTTACTTCGTCCCTTACTTCGTCCCTTCCTTCCCCCTCTGCTCTGCCAGTGGCAAAACACGTCTACCTTCCTTACGCGTCGTTTCGCGCCTCGTAACCCCCTGCTCTGCTTCGATTACGCGATGCCCCTCGATCTTATATATTTCTCTTGCAAGCACCGATACCACCGACTGGCCCATGGCTCGTGGTGTCATCAGCCGACGATGCTTCCGGGCTAGTTTCACATGCACAGCCTTGCTTCTTTGTCTCCGCATCCACATTTTTCCCCGGCACATGGCAATGTTGAAATGAGCATCCGCCCAGTAGTGGGATTCCCAGTTCTTCCCTCTTCGACCTGTCATCTGCTCCTGCTCCTGCACCCGACAAAGTCGCCGCGCAGCCAACCGTCAATGTGACAAGAGGGAGTTCCTGCGTCACCCATCTCGCATGCACGACGCTTGCACTCTTCACTCTGCCTGTCTTTGAACCACTTCCCTCAGTGCTGACCAATACCCGCAGTAAGTCGGTGGGACCGGTTGCTCGTTTTTGGCGGCCTGCTCCTTGCTGCCTTGGCCATGTTTGCTACATGCATTGGCCTCATGTTTACGCCTGTCTTTTTGGTTAGGCCGCGCAAGTTTGCCATCTTGTGAGTTATCTGCCTCCCCTCACAGCCCCCCCCCCCTTCATAGCCGCCCAGCTCCTTGTCCCGCGCTACCTTCCTTTGCCCTGGTAAAGGTGATCCCAGACAGAGAGATAGACAGTGGCACATGGCCTATCTGTTCGTCGGCACGGCTATGCGAACTCATGCAACTCGTTCAACTGCTACACGTCCCCGCTCATGTACTGCGGACGGCAGCTTTGACGAATCGAATCCATGTGCCACTTGACCTTTCTAGCCACTGTAACATCGGCACTGGACCCCTCTGCAGCGATCATGCGGGTCCAAGGTTCGGCGCGCTGCAGGGTACAGACAGCCTTCATCGAGTCAAGACTATATGCCAAGTCTCATGCACGTCACCTGAAGAACGCTAGTGCTAACCACCATGGTCTCATTCTAGATGGTCTATGGGTAGCCTTCTCTTTCTAGCTGCATGGGGTGTCCTGATGGGCCCGATACAATATGGTAAGCAAGCCTTGTTTGCACCAACATCACCACTGATCACCTCAAATCCACACCCTTCCATCTCATCATTATGCATCCACACACCCACACACACAGAGTGACTGCATTTGCCCTTTACTGATCCCGCTTCTAGTTCACCACCTTATCTCCGGCTCCAGACTTCCGTTCACGGCCGCGTATTTTGGCAGCATCGTCCTCACGCTGTATTTCTCCCTAGGTGTAAGTCCATTTCCTAGCGTATTAATCCCTGCAACATGTCAACCCTGGTGCTTTCTGCCCCGAATCCCTGTCCGCGTGCCCCTCCCACTCCACGCCAGTCCTTATCGATTGCGCTCCACCCAGCTCGCTCTCGCTGACAATGTTCGCGTGACTAGCTGCATAGCACCCTTCTCACCTTCATTGCGGCTGTCGCTCAGCTAGTTTCCCTGGTTTGGTACATCGTATCCTACTTCCCCATGGGCTCCTCTGGTCTACGTTTTGCTGCGCGCTTTGGAGGAAACCGCGTCGCCGCCTGGATGAGCGACTAGGCTCTGTTCTTGAAACCTTGCCGGCGCCACGCTCAATATTGTGGCTATGCCCCTCCTGCGAATACGGGCGTGTCGTCGCAATGCGACGCGTGTCGGACAATACATGAGCATGTCTGGCAGGGCTGTATATTGCCCTTGTACGCGAAGAGTCGACTTGCCAGGATCTCTCAATGTCATGTTCCAATCCCATCACGCTACATAGTCACATATACGCCTCTCTCCACGCCTCTTATTGCTGCATCCTGACTGATCGGCTGGCGTGGTGCTAGCGGCACACTGAACGAGGCGGCAATCAGACTAGCACCTAGCGCGCCGTGTCTGCATTGCACTGGTGTATTTGGAAGCTTCAAGTGCTATCGCCTACGGCCATTCTGAATCAAGCTGAGAAGCAGAGGGTCGAATACAGGTTGTTCCATCAAACCAACATATCTGATACATTTCTCCGAAGCATGAGTGAGCTTGTCTCATCCACGCCCGACCAAGCCTTTCTAAATTAACCTATCTGGTTGATCACTTGCCCAAATGTTCCCCCTCGTGGCTGTTCGGACTCGTCCTTGGCTGTGCCGATCTGTAGATTACTTGCTTACCCAAAGATTTTTTTTCTTCTCCTTTCAAGTTGAAAGTCTCACGGAATACCCGACTCACGACATCTGTTGCATGCACGGCGGGTGAGAGGTTGAGACCGATCAGCGCAGGGTCAGCGCCGTCTAAGGCAGGGTGGTGGCCGATCAAGGCAGGGTCCCGAAGGCGTCTCCAAAGGCCAAATGGGCTACGAACGGCTTTCGGCGCTATATGGCAACATCTGCGCTGATCTTGCAATGTGCGCTTGTTCGCATGTGTTCGGCGGGTGGATGCATATAGTTTGTATGCGAACGGCTCGTCAGTGTTATCGCAAATCGCGCAAGACGGAAAAAGGCGAGCGCACACGCCCTCCGTCGTTGCCCCTCCCCCTCCCCCTCCCCCTCCGTTCCCCTCCACCCCTCTCCGTTTCCTTGGTGAACTCCTCCCACGCAGCGATGGACAGGAAACGATAGTACTAAACGTTTGATCGTCTCAAGCTAGAGGGAGATGGCGGGAGCGCGAGGGGCCTCGTGATCTACATAGTCCATCCGAGTAGGGTGGGCCATGTTATCGTGAAGCGATGAGGTGTGGTGGTGGTGTCGTCGCAGCAGCAGCCCATGTTGCAGGGGACCAGTAGCGAATGAGGATTTCCCCGCACCATTAAGTCCATGAGCGCTTGCGCGCCACCCACGGCAATGCGCAATCCCAGAGAGAGAGGTGTGGGAGGCATTTTGGTTCCAAACTGTCCTGCTAAGCCTGTCTCGGCCATGTGCAGAGAGGGCACAGTCTATCCAGCAAGGCGGGATGCCGCTCTCGGCGAAAATCCTGTTTAATCGGCGCGAAACGCGGCCTTGCGAATATTGTTAGCATTCAAGTCTCTCTCGTTTCTAGTCAGCATGGTGTGTGTGTAGTGGCCCAAGGTGGCCCGACATGGCCCGATGAGCGGGTGGTGGATGACGACATGAATGTTTATTATTAACAGTAGTGTATAACTAACCCAGAATTAATAGCCCATATCACGAGCGGGGGGACCGTGCTGTCGCCCGAGAAGAAGAAAAAAAATGGCAAAAGGTAGATGATGAAAAAGAGACATGAGACCAACTACTACTATCTTGTGTCGAAATGGAGGGGGTCATGTGCGCAAATTCTGGTGGTTTGGTTGGGCTTTTTCCGAAGGTGATTCGGTCCTTTAGCGTTCTATACTATCGCGTTGCCCCTAGGGAAGCAAGCATGCCATGGCGCAGTTTTACTTACTACCAAAGAAAAAAATCAAGGTAACGTAGCGGAATTGGCGGTGTGAGCCCAAATCAACTAGCATGATCTTAACTTTCTTTGGGCCATTTTGCATCTTGATTTTTTTCTTTTTTTATCGTTCTGACAACGCGACCACGACACTTTAGCTTCCCGCGTGGGCTGCTAGTTGCAGTTGCCAGAGCTACGAGCATCGGTTCACACTTCTCTTTTGCCGCTGCTAGCTCAGCAAATTGTCAGTCCAGATTTGTTGATTTCTTTTTTTTTCAAAGGTCTACTTTTGTTTTCGCTGCTGTCAGAAAGCTTGATACCATGTTTCCAATATTTTTCAGTCATCTATTTTCGGTAGGGGTAATTCCAAACTTGGGGCTATCTGGCGACGCGCCAATATCCACCGACCTTGGCCCTCGTCTACGAGATGTCAGCTCTCCCTTATCTCTCTCTTTTTTAAGTTTCTTTCAACTTACGAAACTAAGCCACGAGTTCTCCTTGTGTTACGCGATCTTACGTTGGGTGGGCAACCCCTCCCTCTCTCCCTCCTCCTCCGCCCACTTCCCACCCACACACACACATCCCTTCGTTTCCGCAATATCCGTGAGTAACCACGCAGACTGGGCTCCCGCGATACGCGAGTGAGATGTGTGTTACGGGGCGGGATAGGTTGGGAAGCGCTGACCTACGATTCCACGTCCGTATCACATAGGCGAGATCCGTTACACGTGTGTCCAGACTCGTGGTGCCACGAAGTTGCATATAGGGCTGAAAGAAGATTATTTGTGGCGTCTTATTGTGGCCGCTAGAAACGTTCTTTGCGTTGGACTGTGAATAGAGAAGGTGGCGGGTTGGAATGGGCGCCCTACTACTTGAACGGTGTGGCCACAGTTTGCCTGGATCAAGGACTTGGCTTTTAGCTGCATGTGAGGCGTGATGACTGGGTGCCGTTTGATGTTGTAAACGCCATCTCGACCGATCGCCCTTCTGGAATCGCACGTGTGAGTGGTGATGTAAATATGCGGAGAGACTTGGAAGTGAAGGCGAGAGAGGATCGGAAACAATCGGGTGCGGCTGACTGGCTTGCTTATGGCTGGTATAATAGCTCTCTTCTATGTACTGCTTCTCTGTGATTCCTCACTAATAGTGACATGCCCGCCTGTGATCGGGCTGTTCCCTCATTCGTAAGGCATCACAAATGTCTGTCTGCTAGCCGCTGAACTACTACCATAGTATGTATGCACAGAATTTCCCCACCGGAGCCTACAGTAGCCAATAGGCGCCAACCAGAATCTGCTGTTTATCCGTTGTCGTTGCATCGGGGAGTAAGTATGTGGTGCTACCCCACTCCGACTCACGTCGGCAGTATACCTCCAGACCCAACCGTGTGCAGTTCCACTCGACCATTGCCCGCAAATTTCGGGGCACGGAACAGCTCTCCCAGTGATTGGGCAATGTATGACAAGATTCAAAGAGGGTGGGGTGACCGGCGTGATGAGTGCGACACAAGCTCTTGCATGAAGCTTGTGGGGTCGGCAGATGGTGGGGTAGCAATTGGGGTAGTTGAGAACTGGTACACTATTTGTACGCCAGGCGCTCTCATACTTCTTCTCCGACTCCATCTGCACCATCGTGAGAAACAGCGGTGAAGTGTGCACCTCCATCTTTCCGCTTTCATTGGTCTCGTCGAATTGCACCGGAACGACTATCGCCACCAAGGCGTAACCACCATGCCCGAACAGCTTCAAGACCCGAAGGAGTACCAGAATATCTTCCACTGGGCAGAGACGCAGAGGGACGGCGCTATACCCTCGTTTGGAACTAGGAAGAACGACCCTTATGAGGTGAGCTGACTAGACGAACAAGTGGCCATGTTGAAGCTTGCCCGCTGACGACTGGCGTTTTCGCAGTATCAATCCGGCTTCGGAAACAGCTTCGAGTCCGAGGCAGTCCCAGGTGAGTAGGAGCCCAAATCTGATAAACTGTGCAGCCGGCTAATCGGTGGGGCCATACAGGCACTATTCCCAAGGGTCAGAACAACCCGCGATGTGTCAGATTTGGACTATATGCGGAACAAATGACCGGAACGGCCTTTGTGGCTCCAAGGCACCTGAATAAAAAGGTTATACCAGTAAATCAAGGTGGCCAATATAGATGCTGACGCGTCGTTTCAGGCTTACCTCTACCGGGCGCGACCTGCTGTCGCTCATCAAGGATTTGTAAGAGCTCTCTTTTCTTTGACCGATCGGTGAGGTCGGACGCGGAGTTACGCCTCACGTCGTATTCGGCCCGTTTCTGGTTCTCTCAGAACAATCATGACCTCAAAGTGTCAGAGGATATGGATGGCGCAGTAGCATCAAGTGGCGGTGACATTTTACATTCGCTGACACATGCTCACAGACAGACTTGCCAGACAACGAGGATACAGAGTCCAACTTCCTCCCCTCCAACAAGCGAGTCCATGTTTCGCCTACGCAGCTAGCCTGGCTTCCATTTGATATCCCCAAGGATGGAGATATCGATTTTATTTCTGGCCTCAAGACTATTGCTGGCTCAGGTGAGCCAACACTGCGTGAGGGTCTAGCAGTGCATACGTATCTTTGCAATGCAAGCATGAACCGGAGGGCCGCAGTAAACTCGGATGGCGACTTTCTCATTGTGCCTCAGCAGGGAGCATTAGATATCCTGACTGAATTCGGGCCCATGTATGTGCAACCAGGCGAAATTTGCGTCATCCAACGGGGACAGAGATTCAAGGTCAAGGTCGAAGGACCGACCCGAGGCTACATCCTGGGTAGGTCGACTCAAGTCTTGGAATCACTTGACGTAAACTAATGCGATGCAGAAATCTGGGGATCGCAATTTCAACTACCAGAGCTCGGCCCACTAGGAGCCAACGGCCTTGCCAATGCTCGAGACTTCTTGCACCCCAAGGCAAGATACGAGATTGAGAAAGCATCATGGGAGGTTGTCTACAAACTTGCTGGAAAGTTTTTTCTCAGCAAGCAGGAACACTCGCCGTTTGATGTTGTTGCGTGGCATGGCAACTATGTCCCGTTCAAGTACGATTTGACAAAGTTTGTCAATGTTGGCTCAATCTCGGTTGATCACATTGACCCTTCCATCTTCTGCGTCATTACAGCTCCCTCTCGCGATCCAGCGGCGCCGCTAGCCGACTTTTTGATCTTTAGTCCGCGATGGGATGTGGCTTCGCACAGTACGTTATGAGTATCTAGGAGAAAGGCAAAACTAACTATTGCCCAGCATACCGCCCACCGTATTACCACCGCAACGGAGCCTCTGAGCTCATGGGCTTAATCTACGGAGAATACGCAGGTCGTTCAGACGAGTTCCAGCCCGGAGGTGTCAGTTTTGAGTGTGGATTTGTGCCTCATGGTGTTGCATATGAGGAGGTGAGCCAACGCCAGTGAAGTTTTATGAGCAATGCTAAAAAATTCCAAGTTCAAAGCCGCGAGCGCGCAACCGCCGCCTGAGATGCAAATCTCCAAGGGTGCAATCGCTTTTATGATGGAGAGCTCGAGGATGTTTACCATTACCGATTGGGCATGGAATAGCGACAAGAAGCACGAGCACAACCCCAGGATGTGGTAAGTAGTGAATAGAAGCGTTGTGTATACGAGGGCTTTACTGACGCATATCTAGGGACAATCTCGTCGACAATTTTTCAACGCACGAGGACGAGGTCGAGAAACTCCTAGCTGAAGGCGTGAAGAAGCTTTCATTGTAGTGTATTTAGATATTGAAGTCTCATAGAAACAAAATAAAAAGGGCTTCTCTACATGCCTCCCACCTTGACTCAGAAGTGATATGAAAATGATAAGGGCTAGCTCATCACAAATCAACTATGACTCTGACCAAAAAGGCTAGTGTGTACCCCACCCGCGGGGGTCAGGCACCAGGCTGTGATCTCATCGCGACCAGCTGAAGCCATTACTACCCACTGACCTCAAAACAACTACACTTGCGCCCTCTGTCGTATTCGCTCACAAGGGCTGAACTCTGGTATGCAATGCCCTTTCCGAACCGACTCATCGTGACTGCACTGCATAAATCATTTCTCTTTTGTTCTTTCCTACGGCAATGCGCACTACTTTAGTAAAATATTCTCCCCGCTCTTGCACATTGTCGCATTTGTCCGCAACCTTCCTTCGCTCACAATTGTCGCTATCTCAGATTTACCTTTCCGTCTTTCCGCGAACCCGATCACATATCCAAAAGCATTTCATCCCCCGACGTTACTTTGCGTCCACTGCAATCATGGCGCACCGCGAGAGAGCGCCTTATGTGCCGCAAGACCCAAAAGAGGTCACCGATTTGGTCCACGCTCTCGAGGCACACAAGGGCAAGAAGGGGCAGGGTGGTTTCTCAGTTAAAAAACACACATTTACACTCCCTAACGGCCGAACCGTTGACTCATGGAAAATGAACGATTGGGACTATAAGAAGGAGAACCTTCCTACATATGCGCGAGGACTCTTCACGTATAAGAACTTGCAGGGTAACTATGAGATTGCAGTAAGAGGGTACGACAAGTTCTTCAATCATGGGGAGATTCGGAAGACGGAATGGAAAAATGTCGAATGTAACACACGGGGTCCGTACGAGCTGAGTGTGAAAGAGAACGGGTGTATCATCTTCGTAGCTGGTCTAGACGACGACACACTGCTGGTCTGTAGTAAACACTCTACAGGCCCTCGGGAAGGAGGTCTCAGTCACGCTGTTGCGGGCGAGCAGTGGGTTGAGCGTCATGTTGCGAAAGTCGGCAGGACCAAGGCGGAGCTGGCGCGTACTCTTCGATCCATGAACGCGACACTGGTAGCAGAACTATGCGATGACGAATTCGAAGAGCATGTGCTGGCATATACTCCCGAGCAGGCTGGCCTCTACGTACACGGCATCAACCTGAACCTGCCCGACTTTGCTACATATCCTGGCCATCTAGTCGACAAATTTGCCGACGAGTGGGGCATGAAGAAGGTCACATATGTAATTGAGAATGATATCAAGAAAGTAAAGGCCTTCTTGGATAAGGTTGCGGAGACGGGCAACTACGAGGGTCGCGACACAGAGGGTTTCGTCATCCGCTGCCAGGCACACGAGACTGAGGACGCACCTTACGTGGATTGGTTTTTCAAGTACAAATTTGAGGAGCCATATCTCATGTACCGTCAGTGGCGCGAGTGCACTAGAGCTCTCATCGCCGGCAAAGTACCGCGTTACAAGAAGCACGAGGCAATCACCAAAGAGTACCTTGACTTTGCGCGCTGGAAATTCACCCAAAACAAGACCTTGGCCAAGGCTTACAACGAGAATCATGGCATCATCAAGATGCGTGACGAATTCTTGGCCTCGCGTGGAACCACTGGTGCTGAAATCATTCGACAAGAACTGGAAAATGGGGCTGTCGAGAGCAAGAATGCTACTAGGAATATCGTGCTTGTTCCTGTTGCAACTATTGGGTGCGGAAAAACAACTTTGGCTCTCGCTCTGGTCAAGCTGTTTGGATGGGGTCACTTCCAAAACGACAATGTTAAGGCCAAAAAAGGTCGTGGCCAGGTCTTTGCCGACACTATTTCTTCGCTGCTAGTCACAAACCCAGTCGTCATTGCAGATCGCAACAATCATCAAAAGCGCGAGCGAGACCAGCTCATCAACGACATCTCCAAGAATGTGCCAGATGCGCGCTTCGTCGCGTTGCACTATGTTCATGACCGGCACAACTACGACCGAATCCGAGAAGCGACACGGGCGCGTGTACTTGACCGTGGCGATAACCATCAGACTATCCAGGCAGGCTCAAAGGGATCAAGTGAGATTATTGAGATCATGGAAGGTTTCATGCATCGCTTTCAGCCAGTCGATCCTTCAGATAGCCCGGATGACCTCTTCGATTTGGTTATTGACCTCGACCCTACTGTCGACTCGCGCCAGAATCTTGAGTCAATCATTGGAAGAATGTTTGAGACATATCCAGCTCTATTTAGCGATAGACAGATGCCGACTGACCCCGATATGGACGCTGCTATTCACTGGGCTTTGAACGACTACACGCCGGATTTCAAGATGGACCTATCGCGAGGCAACAACGATAAAAAAGGCAATCAGAACAAACAGAACAACCAGAAATCTCAACCAGTAGCAAAGCTAAAGAAGGCTCCACGCATGGAGTACTTCTCCGTTCGTCTCAACACCAACCACGTCAACGCAGTCCTTGACGACCTCTTCAAGGGCAAGAACGCCACGACCGCCCGAATGTACAACCAACTAAAGCAGAGCCGTCGGGTTCAAAACGAATTCCACGTCACCCTCATCCACCGGGCCTCCGCACCCGAAAACCAAGAATACTGGGAAAAGCTCATCAAGCTCCATGAAAACATGCAAAAAATAAACATGGAAGGCTCGTGGGAGCCAGAGCTCGGCAAGTGCGACGTCCAACTCGAACGTCTCATCTGGGACGACCGTATCATGTGCTTCGTAGTGCGTCTCAATGGCTCCAGCACCCTTCAGATCGAGAGTGAAGCAAGTACTGCAACCGAGGAATTCGTTTTCACGACTGCAAATCCCATCGCCCACGTCACTGTTGGTACTGCGTCGCCGAATATTAAGCCTATGAAGAGCAACGCGCTGCTACAGCGCTGGGTCAATGGGGGCTCGGGAGATCAGACTGGTATCGGGGAGTTGAGCGTCAGGGGTAATGTTGTTCTCGAGGGAAGTGTGAGGGGTGTGCTTGGACGCATGTAGGGAAATCGTTTGCAGCGCACTGCTCGGAGGGAGAATGCAAGGGAGAACAAGACGAAGAAGAAGAAGTGAGGCGGTTTGAAAGGAAAGAAGAGTTACTACAGACACTGAGGAGAGGTTTCTGTAAAAGAATATTGAAAACAAAGAGCATTTTTTATGGCGTTAGCATAGGTGTGTTTAAGAGGGTATATATCTATCGATGGATACGGAGAAGCATGGAACATGGCTCAAATCATAAATGATACTTTACAACAAATCAATCAAGTCACTATTCACATCCTCTTTCTAATACGTAGCAGGAAACACCCCCGCCCTCCCTCCATCCGTCAACTGTGCAACCCCATTAACATACGCGCCCCCCTTGCCCACCAAAAAAAGCATCAACCCCGCAATGTCGTTCAACCCGCCCATCCGTCCCTGCGGTATCTGACTCGTTCCATACACGGGCGTAATACCCGCCGTCATATCACTCGGATAAGGACCCGGGCAAACAACATTACTTCTAACCCCCCACTCCGCCAGAAACGTCGCCATCATCTTGCCCAAGTGCGCGGCAGCGGATTTACTGGCATTGTACGCGAGACCCGCGGAGACCCAGCGCATGTACGAAGCGACGGATGCAACGGTGATGATGTGCGCCATGCGGTCATCGTCGGCGTCGATACCATGTTCTGCCAGCTTCGCCGTGTCACGGGCACGCGGGTTCCCTGTGCCGGTGACCTTGCCCGGTGCCCATCCACGGCGTGTATTTGCTGCTTCGAGCAGAGGGAGGAAAGTCGCGGAGACACCGATGACGGATTGCGTGTTGATCGCCATGGCACTGGCCCAGCCATCGTAGTCTGATGTCATTGCGTCGGCGAGTTCGTGGATGGACGATGCTTTGTAGATGTCCTGTCCGTTTCTCGGCCCAAGGACACCGGCATTGTTGATTAGCACGTCGACGTAGCCAACATCTTTCTTGATATGCTCGGCGGCGGCCTTGACGGAGTCGAGGTCGGTGACATCGCAGACGATGTCGTTGAGGACGGAAGTGCTATGCGGTTTGTATGCTATGTCTGATTGGAGGTTGGAGATGGCGTTGCGGAGGACGTCTTGTCGGCGGCCGAGGATGTAGACTTTTTCAGCGCCGTTTTGGTAGAGTGCTGAGGCTATGGCGAGGCCGAGTCCTGTGGTTGTGATGAGCCTTTTTGCTAGGAACTTGCATGGCAAGCGACTGTTCAAAGGGGATGGGCGCGGGGCAGTACAGCGGGGTAACTTGGAGCTTGAATAACTAACGTACCAGAGCCGCCGCCGGTAATAACTACTACCAGTCCCTTGGCGGAGAATAGGCTATTCGGTTGTATGGGTGCTGTGACGTCCATGGTGACCAGTCTAATTCGAGAGTATTGTAAACGTTTGAGACTTGTAGAAAACGGCAGCTTCTATAGTGAGAAAGTCCACTCCCGGGTGATTACTATGCCGAGCTAGAGCGAAACGATTGCGTCACAGATGGAGATGGGCCGCGGTTGGAGATGGACAGGACATGACGCGTGTGATTCAAACAAGGGGGTATCATTTACGCCGTTAGAACTGACAAAACTCTTTTTCCTTTTCCTTCTTTTACCCCACGACTGCCTAGCTAATACCTCCAACAATCTTGAGGCCCAGGTTGTCGGCTGAATAGGCCAGTATATATCGGCATGGGTGCCATGCGACGTGCGCTGCGGGTGTAGGAACATCAATGGTGTGCACAGTTTCGCCCGATTCAACATGCGCGATGCGAATCTTCTTTTCTTCCTTGTCGTCGGAGCCAGCTGTAATGTAGCTGCCATCAAACGAGAAGTCCACGCTCTTAACGAGGCCTCCTGTCAACTCCAAGGTTCTCACGCAAATCCATTCCTGTGTATCCCAAAGTGAAACTAACGCATCTCCTCCGCCAGCTGCCAGGTATTCGCCGCTAGGTGACATGGAGACAGCATAGCATGCAGAAGTATGGGCGTTCAGTGTGAGAGCGTTTTCGAACGACGGATAGCGTAGTAACCTAACGCTTCCATCACCAGCTGTCGAGTAAAGGTGGTTACCGGACCAATCAAAGACACACTGGTTAGTCTGGAGGGGCTGACGGTGCTCGGAGATGATACTAAGAGCTGCTCTATCGACATTGACGAGCAGGTTGTCCTATAGAAAAGTCAGTACATGTCCGAAACAAAGGTTGGCCTACTAACCTTTCGTCCTACAACGATTTCATTGCCATCTGGTGTCCATGCCAGCGTAAAGGGCTGCTCGCCGACCTTGACCTCGCCCACACTAGCTTTGGAGCGAATATCCCAGAATCTGACCATACCATCGGTACCGCAGCTTGCAAGCTCATTCTCATTGATGGGGTGGAAAGATACGCGTTCGAGGTTGGTCAAGGGAGGCACGTTGGGCGTACGAAGCTCGGTGGAGTTCTTAACGTTGGTTTTCTCGGGATTCCATATGCGCAATGTCTTGTCTGCAGCTCCCGTGGCGATAAAAGTTCCAGAGGCGTTCCACGATATCGAGCGGATGTAATGCGACGACGAGACGGCGGCCGGGCGCACGCTGTCTTGGTAGACGGATGTCTTGAGTTTCTTAAAGACCGTCTCGAAGTCATCTTTCTTGATCGGACGCGCGCGGACTGGGGGCGGCATCTTGACTGTACCGTAGCTGGTTCAGCTTGCAGTTGGTGGTTGAGACTTTGGTCATGACGCGAAGCTCCAGTCTCATGGGTGGACCGTGCTTTCCCCAGCATCTACTTCCGCCATCGTACCTGGAATGAACGCAACGAGAGCACACGCAACAAAAAACCTTAATAAACTTCAAAGTTCGAGTTCATGAATACTATATAGTATATCGTGTCTATACTATAGACATAATCTTATACTTCTTATATTGATACAGTCACTCGATATAAGTCTATAATAGACTGCGCCTGTGAGTGAAACACGTAATTGTATCACGTATCTTCTTTATATCACTTAGTCACGAAACCTTTTTCGGATAAAGGAACCTAATATAAGAATTTAAATTTAGACTATAAAGTTAGACTCTAAAGTTAGACTAACTATAAAGTAATAGATTTTAAATAATAACTTTGCTTTCTATATCATTTTTTTTATACTATGGGATAATGTATACTTGTATTAAAGTCTTTTCAGTCTTAAAATAAGAAGAAAGATTATTACTTTTAACTTTTCTTATAAAAAGAAAAGAATTTAAATTTTTTTTTAAAATTAACGTATTCCACTATCGAGAGTCCTATATAACGGCGCAGGCAAGACTACTCGGATTAGTATCGGCGGCAGTGTCACTCAGAGGCATATAGGAGTGCGTAGAACATTAAATAAGCCTTAATTTAAATAAACACCTATAAGCCTTATATAAAAGGATATTAAAAGTCTATAGAACTAGCTACAGAGAGTATTTTCTTATATACTTATCTTAGTCGGATCTGAATTAGATATAATCTTATAACGAGTAGTTAATAAAAAGGGCAGTAAATACTACCTCTAATTTAGCTCTAGAATTAGTCTAATACTATAACGGGCTGAACGCCCTTTGGATAGCTCCTCAATAGAATCTCGGCCTACTCGCAGAACCTGGGTGCTATCTTGAGCACCCGGATTCTCTACGCACCACCCGAACGACGTTTAGACGACAGCCGCAGGACCCAGAAGCTACCTCGTGCACCTAGACTTCACCAGTCCGATTGTTACTTAGGTAACCAGCTTATATATAGACAGCTACGTAGCTTAGGAGCTTAGCTCCTTATCAAATATAACCTCTTATATACCTCGCGATTACTCCCTAGAGCGCAGCCTCTTATATTTTGTATTCAATCCTAATTAGATATAAGCCTTAGGTAGACTGTCTTCTAACTAAGCTTTAGAATGTGCTATTAGTATAAGCTAGTAATACAGAGTTAGTGCTGTAATAGGTACGAAAGGCCTTAGCGCAGCGAGTAGGTAGACTATTGTAAGATAGTACACCTAGAGTAGAGCTTCGCAGGAAGCTTAGCCGTGAGAGATAGTAGGCGAAAGAGTCGCCTAAGACCTGTTAGAAGCCCTACCGTATCTTAGAAAGCCGAGCCGTAGGCGCAACGTTACGTAATAAACTACCTAAAAGCCACTTAGGCCTAGCGTATAGTTAGCTAGAAGCAGACGTTATAGTAAGAAAGTCCTATTAATTCTCTATTAGACGAGGTATAGGCCGTGCGATTACTCTTAATCAGAGACGGGATCCTATAAGCGAGACAGCAAGACGCGAGTCTTCCTAGAGACGTGACGTAATAGCGATAGAGCGCTATTTAGATTCTAGCTAGTAATAAGAATAGCTAAAGGTAAGCTCTACTAGTTCTTACTAATAAGGAGTAGGCCGCAGTCCAGGACTGCGCAAGTAGATTAAGAGACAATTAGAAGCTATACGCGACGATAAGGGGGTACTTAATAAAGTTTCCTTAGAACCCCCCTAAGAACAGTACGATAGAGATTAACGTTCCTAACTTAAACGTAAAAGAGCTAGCGGCGTACGCTACCGCTAAGAGCTAGGTAAGAGTCTTAGACGAAGAGATCCTGCGTGAGATTATATAAATACTAAGAGAGAATAGGTAGAAAGAGGCAGCGATTGGCCTAATAATTAAAGCAGTTATAAAACGGTTAACAGTAGTAGGAGAGAGGAGCCTACTAAGGCAAAAGAGCTTACTAAAGAGCGACTAGAGCGCTATAGTTTAGATAATAGAGCAGATAATGCGACTTCTTAGCCTAATAGTTAGTCGTTTAGAGGCACTTAAACAGAACTAAGCTGAAGAACGCTTAGAAGCCTCCTTAGGAGTTAATACCTTACTACTACCGCTAATAATAACTACTAAGCTAACAGCCCGTAAGAATAAGTTCCTAGACCTAGAACGTTTTAATAAGACCTATAAGAACTACCTAGGCTAGAAGTTTAAATGCGAAGGGAAGCTAGAATATAATGTTACTATATTCCTAACGGAGAACTTAAAGGTTTAATACGTGCTTAGCTAAACAAAGGATAAGGTAAACTAGGTCCTTCTTCTCTAGGTACTTAAGAATAAGAAGTAAACAACCGCTGGACTATAGGAGCATATAGATACTTACTTCTAAAACGTCCACTAGTAGTAGCAAGCTCTAAATAAGCTTTAACACCTAAAGTAAGAACAACGCCCAATACGCGACTACGTCTTAGAGTTTAATTAACTCCGCGTAGAGTCCTAACAGACGTTTAGTCTAGTAGTAGCTCGTAAGATATTTAGCGAAGGACTTAGAGAGAAACTCTAGAAGCTAATACTCTATACCCTTAAGAATAGGAGTTTAAAGGAGTATATAGACAAGGTAATTAAGCTTTCTAACAACCTATATTAGATCTAACTATATAGAAGAAACTAACAGAACGTAGCCTATAATTACGCGTAAGTATCTCTAAAAGCTACCTAGTAAGAGAATAGCCTAGAAGCGATAGACTAGGAACCCTTAAGAGTTAATTAAGCATAAGAGAAGACAAGTAGGCTAAGACAACCTCCACGGGACTGCTATAGCTGTAGAGAGCTAGGTTATTTAGCTAGGAACTATCTAAATAACGTTTAAGTCAAGAGAGCTAGAGCCCTCCCTAAGAGCGAAAAATAGAAGTAGCTAGAAGAGGCTAAGAACCTAGCTAATAGCGACTTAAGAAAAGAGGAGCTCTAAGCTAGAGTCTCGGCTTAGAGCCTCTAAAGATAGATCAGCAGACAAGTAGCGAATAGAGTTAATTTCAGCAAAAGTATATACGTCCTCCGCTAATTACTATAGATCTAATTATAAATAACGTAGTTAACGCTACGGCACTAATTAATTATAGATATCTCTACTACGCACTAATTAATAGAAAGTTCGCTTACTACTACTATCTAGAGCGCTTTCAGATCCCTACCCGAATAATTAAGGGAGTAAATAGTAAGCTATTAGAGATTAACGAGGTCGCCTAATTCTCGTTTAAGCTATATAAGTACAAAGAGTCTACCTATATATATATAATAGATTTATCCTCTAGTAAGGACGTCTACTTAAGAAGAGAGTAGATAGATTACCGCGATATAACGATAGCCCCCGCGAAGAAGAGTATCTTTATCTACTTAAAAGGCATTTAAGTGTAATTAATAGAGGGGACTCTATAAGGAGAAGTCTAACGCATAAACGCCGCTATATTTATAGTGCTACTTCGCCGACATAAGAGCGCTCTAAATAGCGTTTAGATTTTCGCCGCGTCGATCGCAGATATTAATAAAGCGTTATAACTAAAGAAGCTTATAAACGTACGAGCGCTGCTACTAACGTAGTACTAGAAGTTCTATAAGCTCTTTAACCTAAAGTAAGTAGAAAAGCTTCCACTGTATTAAGGGCTAGAGGTAGACTATAAGATTAAGTTAGAGCTAAAGAATACTTAACTACTATAAGGACCTCTCTATAGCATATCGCGCGGAGAGCTTCTAATTCTTTAAAAAGAACTTACGTTACTTCTCAAGAAGAGATTTATCTATATAAGTAGCTTACTAGCCGCTACGCTAGTGCTATTCGCGAAGAAGCTAGAAGGAGAGCTCTAATTATATATCGACTATCGAGCTCTAAATACGATTACTAAGAAAGACTAATATCTACTACCGCTTATCCGAGAGACGCTTAATAGCTTAAGTAAAGCTAAATAGTTTATAAAGTTAGACGTTATCGCGGCCTTCTATAAGATCCGCATTATACTAGGCGATAAGTGGAAGACAGTCTTCCGAACGAGGTTCGGACTATTTAAATAGCTAGTTACTCCGTTTAGTATAGCGAACTCCCTAAGCACCTTCCAATAATATATTAATTAGACCTTAAGAGAGTACCTAGATAACTTCTACTTAGCTTATCTAGACAACGTACTAATCTATACTAACGGCGATCTACGCTAGTATCAAGAGCATATCTAAAGGGTACTTAGTAAGCTTTAAGCCGCAGAGCTATAGGTAGATATCAAGAAGTGCGAGTTTAAAGTTAAGATAACTAAGTACCTTAGGTTTATTATTAAAGCGGGCAAGAGAATAAGTATAAATCTAGCTAAGGTAGCCGCAATCCGCGAGTAGGAGGCGCTAAGAATAGTAAAGGGAGTAAGATCGTTCCTAGGATTCGCGAACTTCTACTAAAGGTTTATTAAGAACTTCGCACAGCTAGCCGCACCTCTTATAAGGCTTATAAGTAACGTCCCTTTCTAATAGAGAGCTGAAGAGCAGTCAGCCTTTAAGAAGCTAAAGAAGATCTTTATTATAGAGCTAACGCTGGCGGCGTTTAACCTAGATCAGGAGACAGTACTTAAGTGCGATTCAAGTAGCTACGCGGTAGGCGGAGTGCTATCGCAGTACGGCGACAATAGAGTCTTATAACTATACGCATTCTTCTCGCGGAAGAATAACGCGCACAAGTGCAACTACGAGATCTACAATAAGGAGTTACTCGCAGTAGTACGATGCCTTAAAGAATAGGACTCTAAACTACGTTTAGTTAAGAAGTTTAAAGTAATTACAGATTATAAGAACCTAGAGTACTTTATAAAACCCTATATACTAAACGAGCGTCAGATAAGATAGTCGCTTCTACTTAGTAGGTACAACCTAGAACTGCTATAT